ATCATATGGTGACTGGGAGAGAAACTGTTAACATGAAGAAGGTTTAAGAATGGAAAAGAGGAGTTACCTTGGAAGGTCAAGGGATCCCACTTTCAATTTTCTGCACATCTATTTGAACCACTGCATGTAATTGTGTTTCTTACCTGAAAGATCCCTCCAGAACAAAAAGTTGTTTCATAATTCTGTTGGAACATAACTGTGATTCCTGATGTATGATTAGATGACACTGCAAGTTGTTCTTTCTCCGTCTCACATTTTCACAGCAAAAAAATTTAGGCATCATCTGTCTGTTACAGTTGAGGCACACAGAGATCAGTGGTCATATTTTCCGCATAGCTCCACTTCTATTTAAGCATCTAAATGAAAAGTTCTGATTTTTGCAACAGCTTGTTGTTTTTAATCAGACCACTTCATCTGAACAATATGCCATGCGCTATTTCCTTTCTTAAGAGCTCTTCAGAGCTGGTCATGCATTGATCATGTTCTAATGCGTGCAGAGTGAAGTTTGCAACTCCATAGTTAAGCTCCCTCTTCTTTGGTAAAACCATGAAATGTCGGTGTGAGATTTCCCTTTTCAGATAAAGGTATTTTCCAGTTCCAGATGTTGGTAGTTGTGATAAACTATACCAACTATGGAGAAATGAGTACTAATCTGGTAATTTTTTTAAATTTTTATTATTCTAATGTATACTTGTTATGTATACTAACCTGGTATTATTATCAGCTGCATACCAGTTATGAAGAGCTACCAATACAGTTAGAAAGCTGGATGTACTCCAGGTAACTTTCTCTGGAGTCCACAGTCTCTGATTGACTGTCTTTTCATTTGATAACTATTCTATTCCTGGTACAGCTACTGAACAGGATGGTGATAAAAAACCTGAACAGCCTCTGGAGAGAGAACTTGTATATAATGATGTATTGTCAATATCTAAGGGAGTGCTGATTTGTGTTATGGAGAATCCATAACCCTATGGAGTTTTCTGAATGTTTCAGATACAGCACATTTTTTTTTTCTTCCTGAATTGTTTTTTTCAGTGGGTTTTTCCCTCTGGTTAGAGGAAAGTTTGGAAAACTGAAGAAATGACATTTTGGCCCTAACGATCAAAATCTCTATAAATCAGTCTTGCCTTCTGAAAGCTGCCATGCTGGGGTCTTCCATAGTGTATATACACACACACATTTTAGCCTAGCCTTAGGAAAGTTTTTTGTTCTCACAGATTTTTAAAGGTGGTAATGGTTGGACATCGTGATCTTAAAGGTCTTTTCCAACATAGTTGATTCTATGATTGTTTCCCTTTTGATGAGGGGAATTCATGAAGGTGATGCCAAATGTCTTGGCTTCGGGATATATATCAGGGATGTTTTATATTTAATATGTTTAATCTGTTTTATGTTTAACTCTGCTTGAATAAAAATAGTGTTTTTACAAGACAAAGCATATAGGTCTTGCTAACCTATGCCTTCCCATGAACTTCCATGTAACTTGGAATACTGATAGTTGAATATGATTTCTGAGAGTTATATTCTCCACAAGTCTTTAACTACATTTTGGTAGAGGTTTTTTTTGGTTGTTATTTTTTCTGACTTGATTTCCTTCTTTAGTGATGCAGAAAGGGTGATCATTGCAAAGAAGATCGAGAATGAGAGGAAAACCTCCCTGCAATGTATCACTGCTCACCTAAGCCAAGACTCAAGCGAAACCAGTCTTCTTGTGGGCTACATCTTTTTATGTGCATCCTTTCAGTATAGTCATGAATTAATCCACCCTAACTGAAAACTGCTGGGGGACACTCCTCTACCAGAAATTTATTTTAACATTTGTGGTCCATGAAAATGCAAACAGGATAAAGAAAAGGGCACTGGAGCTGTTTATTGAAATTCTGGTATTTCTTGGAGTTCAGCTATCTGAAGTTGATAGAATTGAGATTAGAATTGGTCCTCAGTCCAGAAGTGCATTTTGCTACAAGTGTTTTTCAGCATTACTTTTCTCATCTTGCAGTGCACTGTATTTGATCTTCTGCTGTGAGACAGGCAAGACAATTAGGACCATGGTAATGAGTGCATAGAGATGGTAGCAACCTCTATATTTAGGCTGCCTTAACATTTCCACTCTAAAGTAATCACTCAAGCTCTCCTAAGTACTCTTACTCAGCTACTGTTGGCAGCAGGCATTTGAAATACAGCTTCAGATACAGTCTTGGGAGTTAGATGTCTCTCTGTGAAATTTTGCTCACGTCTGTATGAGTAACAAGGCTTTTGAAAACTGCTGTTCCTTTTCTCTTACTGGCTGTAAGAATCTAAGTTCTGAAGAACTGGGCTCAAAAACGACATTTGCAGGAGCAGTGGGTGGCATGTCCATGGTGCTGTGTGGGAGCTTGCATGCGGGAGCATTTCAGAGAATGACGGACCATGGACACATCCTCCAAACACTACTCCAGTTGCACATGTCCCTCACCATTGACCTATTAGATTAGGAGTAGCATTAGGCTAATGTGACTGTTGTGGCCAGACTTAGACTGGGATCTTTGTGCATTACTTCAGTGTACAACAAATGCACAGATGGACCAGCTTAGATTTTCATGTGCTCTAGAGGAGAGCTGTATCTCAGGCAGACTACTGAACATTTTTTTCAGAAGCCACCTCCCTATAGTTCATCAGTCATCTGTTTTGAGTCAAGAAGTAAAGATGAGCTAAACAACATTAACAGAGGCTTACAGCATTTCATTCCTCCACTGCACCTTCTCCTTACTGGGGTCTATTCCCACAGAAGCCTTTTGTAAATGAAATAAGGTTCTTTACTCCCATCAAAGCCAGTCTAGATGTTTCCAGAGTGGTACAGATAAAAAAGGCTTCTCTTCCTTCCAACGTTCTAATTTTCTTAATACCCAAGATGCTGTCTAAGAACAGATGGGTCATCAGCCACAACAGTTTCATGCCTCAGACCAGCTACTAAGATCTGGATGAGTGCACATACACCTTCCCCTTTTTCTGGCTGTGATCTCTCCCTGTGTGATATTTAAAGCAGTGAGAAACAGTTTTATTTATTCTTCCTGTTTTCAGGGAACCAGGACTTCAAGTACTCTTTCCACATTAGTACTGTGACATGAAATAATTCTCTCCATTGTAAACTTTCCTTTACACAGAAGGTAGACAACAGGGTTCTAAATTTTGGCTGGCTGCTAAGGTCAGGAAGGCATAAATACTTAGATGAAACTCTTTTGCAGTGTATTACCCCTCACCTTTCATTTTAACTGGCCCTGAATGAGTAGGAGTCTTTATGTTTACAGAAAGGAAAAAAACAATTGTGATCATGCATGTTTTCTGCAGCTCTTGAGAGTCCTGTTCCTGTTATAGCCTTATTAATGTTTAAAATGGGAACAGAGAAACCAAATGTTTCAGGTAAGAACACTGCTTACTTTATGTAGTGCTTTCCATCTGAAGACAGACCTAAGCAAGATCTTACTGAGTATTGTCAGACTTTCAAAGCCCAAACATAGCAAGTAAATTAGCAGAAGTTGGCTTTGCCAGTCTCTTTAATTACTGCTACGATAACGTGATCAGTTTTTCTCGTTTTGATCGTGTCACCATGAAACTGGAGGGCATTATGGAATATTAAGTGATCTTTTAATTATGGAAGAGCAGTTTAACTGCAACTCTAAAGTCATGCAAGCAAAAGGTATTTTGATCAGATTGTTTGAAGGAGGCTCCTGGAAGGGAAATTTCAAGTTAAGACATGTCTGTTACAAAATTAGCACTTGATACATTGTAACTCACAATTGCAGAAAAAAAATAAATCGTTCCTCTAATTGGTTTGCGTTTTACATAGCTTGTACTTCAGCCTTCTTGCTCTTCAGTGTGAAGGCAAGCCTGTGTGAGCAGTGTACGTTCAGAGCCAGAACTGCCGCTCGCAGGAACAGTCAGTGTGAAATCACATAACAGGGCTTGGTTACTTTAAGTAGAAGCTTATGAGTTGCATTTTGTTTCAACATCTGAAATGTTAAGTGGGGCTCCTCCCCAGTACTTCACAGATTCAGGTTTCAAATGTCAAATGCTCTAAACTAGGGTTAGCCTGAGCTAATGCTCTAAGGCTATGAGGTTGCGCTTCCTCGCTCTGCCTATGCTGAGGCGGACAGGGACACAGGGTGTTGCTGTTGCCGAACAGGCTGAGAGCACAGCAGGCTGTTTCCTGCTCGGGGCTTGTTTGTGTGACAGTAGCATCTAGAGGTTTTAAAAGGAATTAAAGCCCACTTTGCTAATGGCTGCATATAACATACATTCCCTACCTTAAAGCATAGACTGAAAAAAGACAGGAAAGGAAACTGAAACTGCAAGCAAGCAGCCTCCTTTATTTGCATTACTTGATGGACAATGCTCTGGCCTCTCACCCATCCCCTTTTGACCTTGGAAGAACTGAATGGAGTTTACAAAAGCTATTTGGGTGGAAGTCAGTAATCTGTTAATAGCTTGTGTAAGTGACCAGCCACGTTTGTCCAAGAACAGAAGAGGTAACTTTTCGAAGCATTAGTTATGCCACAGGAAGGAGGTTGGGTTAGGTGGGTCATTAGCATTATCAAAGTCACCCTGACGCTGTTCACCACTTAAAACCAAAGTGCAGAAAAAATACTGCAGTACAACAGAGCTGTGACTGCCGTGCTTGGATTTGGTTTTACTAACACAGCCTCTGGATTTCCCCTTTGGAGTCCACGGGGAGGCTGGGAAGGTGATTTTCTGCTCTGAGCTGAACACATCTTGCAGCCATGTGGACCAGGTGCTTTGCAAGTGGCACAGAATTTCTCTGGGAGGGAGCAGGTTCTGCTCTACCATTTGTGTGGCTTGACCTGATGACCACACTCTGACCTTCCTCCAGAGCTGAGCTGTTACAGAACAGCAGAAGACTTGGGTCTCTTGTAGTGTTAAGTCCGAGCTGGAGCAGCATAACTATGAAGTAGAATCTTGCTTTATCTTCTCCTGCCTCATGCTGATTTCTTGCATTTCAGATCGCCTATGCTGCAGTGGACTGTGCCAAAGGACAGAATCATGACCTGTGTAAGCAGGAGGGGGTTGATGGCTATCCCACCTTCAACTACTACAACTACGGGAAATTTGTGGAAAAATATACTGGAGAAAGAGGGGTAAGTGAAAGCAAGGGTCATCAGCTGATACAGGGAGGAAGGCCTCCTCTGCCTGTACTGCCTTGCAAATGAAAACTGCGGAGTGACTTTTTACCATGCTGGAAGGATGTTTAACTGCTCCTGTTGCAGTCTTACATGAATGAATCATTGTTTACCACACCCCTGTACATCTCTGCATTAGGAACATACTTGGTCTATTTTTAGGGACATGAGAAGAGGAAGGAGGAATAGATTTGCTAATGCTTTGTTGTATATTTTATTCTTTAAGCTGAAGTCTGCAAGTGAATTTGGACTGAGTGAAAGTGAAGGGTTTATTGCAAGGGCTGCTGCTAGGTACAGAAATGCCAGTAAATACAGAACTTTCTCCTGTCAGTGCTGGATCTGTATTGCACATATACTGCAGACGTGTTACGGATCCACCAGGCTGCCAAATGGTGACAGACCATTGGTTTTATAGCAGGAACAAAGCTGTCCTTTGGAGATTGAGGGAAACTAAATGTCTCATTTGCCCTGAATCAGATTTCACTCCTGGAGCTCAGGATGGCAAGAGAAATTGTGCCATCTAGCCCATGGGCTGAAGTTTCATTCTTTTCTCCTGCTGTGGCCAGCTGATTATATGCTCTGAGTAAAAGGGACAAAAATGGCATAATGCCTTCTGTGGTTGTAAAGTGCCTGAAAATAAGGGAGCAATCCAATTATTTGTGTGTGGGTTTTGTCATAACCTCCTAGAGGGAGGTTACTCCTCAGCAGTGATTGATTGCCTGGAGAATGTAGGATCTGCAAGAAAAACTTGGGTCTTCAAGCCATCCAGTCATTTTGATAAAAGAGCCTTGCCTGAAAGATATTGCTGCTATTACAGCTCACCAAATTATAGAGAAGCATGAAGAAAAAAGCCAAATTCTGAGGTTCTTTGTAAGGCAGAATCTTAGAGAAGTCTTAATGGAGCGTCATCTCCCAGTTTTCTCCAGCATTACGACCCCAGTGATTACCATTTTATGGTGTTGATCGAGGCATTGTTATGGACACTATGTTTAGTTCTGATTGTGGATTTTTTCTTAGAAGCAAAGATGGGTGCCTTAGTCAACAATTAAGTGAAAATTCAATGTCAGTTTTCGTATTTCTAACCCATACTTGTAGACATTAGTATGAGACGAAGGATCTGTGGTGGCTGATAAAAAGAATTTAGCAAGATCAGAGTGCTCTGAGGCCACAGCAGTTGGGAGATGATTACTTCTATGCTGTAAAGCAGACTGACTCATTCCCTATGTGCAGCCTTTCTTGGATAGAATTAAATTACCCAACAGGAACATCACAATCTCTCTGCTACTGGCAACTGTGTTCCCCCTTCACTTCTCCTGCGCCCTAAGGTCTTCTGCTTGTGCAGCTTGATGCAGGTTCTTATATCATGTTAATGCTGGAGGCGGTTCTTAGCACAGTGCCTTCCACGGAGATTCCATGTTTGTTCACAAATCTGTTTCAGTAACGGGACTGCAGTACTAAAGGACTTCGCGCAGCATAACAACACCTTTTGAATCACCATGGCCAACCACCTCCTGCGCTGCCAAAGAAATCTCAGGAGACAGCAGTGAGAGACAGGGGACTTGCTTTCTGTTCCTGATTCTGACACCAATGAGCATTTTGTTCACTGTGGTCCAGCTGGAGAATTGTCATTTCACAATGGGAGGGAAGAAAAGCAGTGTCAGCTGCCATAGCAGTAACATGACAGCAGGAACCATGGCCAGTAGAGCAGGATCTCTCAGCTTCTTGCCACCTCACGCTGGAGGACTGGCTGTGGGGAAGAGCATGATCCCCACTGTTGGCCTGTAAGGGGTCTTCTACACCTCCAAGGGGATTGCAGTTCCAGAGTAGAGATTTTAGGGCATTTCGCCCCAAGCAGTTCAAGCAAGGAAGAGTTAGGACATTCTCTGACTTGAATTGCCTTCCAGGCACACAGCTTTGGAAACTGTGGTCCTTTCATAGGCACCATTGATTGCCAGATATCTCCAAATGAGGTATAGCCCAAACTTGTCACTTCATTATTTTTTTCTCAGTGAAAAAGTAGTGAATAGTTTTAGGAAAGTGTTTTGTTGTTCAGCCTTCTCAAAAGCCTCCCAGCTTTGATGTTTTATTTTGGTTTACTTTTATTGTTCCCCAACTTTATTGTTCCCCAACTTAAACTTTTTCTGTTAGTTGTTCTCCACCTATTTGTATTTTTCCTTTTTATCACCAGTTTCGAGTGGTGTCTTTTGGGATGGCTTAAAAGTAAAAATGGTCAAGTGTTACTTGCCCAGACAACTATAGTGTTGGTGTGCTAGTAGACAGTGTGTTAAAACAGGTGTCACATCTCTACCTATCTGAGCCTTTTGAAACGCCTATGAGTTGTGTTTAGAACTTTCCTTGGAAAAGGAAATTGCTGGCACCCAACAGCCTTAGATAATAAGAAATTGTAAGTTGTTGAAGTACAGAGGCTGGCATCTAGGCATCCAGGTTTGAAATTGCTTGGCAGTAGTGCTGATAGTGACTTCAAAAAATGGAACTCCCATCATCTGAACATGTGGAAAAGGACAAAGATCATAAGCAAAACTGTTAAGGGATGAGGAACAGTGGCAAATGTGTGTGTATAGCCAACAAATGATCACCAGCTGCTTTCAGAATGATACATGTAGCATACAAATGTAGCTTGAAAAATGTCTTTGAGTTTTTTCAATAAAAAAGGAACAGATTTCACCTTGTCCTGTGAGTTTTAGGGCCTTTTTGTTTGTGCACCATCTCTTCAAAGTTTGACATGTGGAATCTGTGGATATTTTCCCCTTGCATTGCAGTGGAGCAGCCCTGGACCAGAGCACTGCGTGCTGAGGCAATGCAAAAGCAGTAACTGCTCCTTAGTTTATATTCTGTCATGGGATACAGAATCTGAAAGTGTTCTTGACATATTATTTTGGTTCGTTTATAAAAATATGACCCCTGTTTTTCTTTCTTCAAAACCAGGAGTCTGGATTCACCACTTTCATGCGAACCCTGAGAGAAAGAGACCATGAAAGAGTAGGAAAGAAGAAGGATGAATTGTAGTTTCTGCCTCAAAAGAAGCTTTCCGCTGCACTGTGAATGGTTCCAGGTCTTTTGTTAATGCACCTGAGACGTCACATATTCTCAAGACAGAGACTTTTTTTTATAAACAGCCATGGCCATTTTGTACAATTTTGAAATAAAGTGAAACCACTTGATTTTTGAAAGAAAAATAAATTAGAATGTTGCCATAATGTTTTAAAGAAAACTTGGCATTTTCTCTCATTTTTGGGAGACTATGCCCACTGACACTCCTATGCAATATTTTTGTAGTCTGTAGTGTGTCTGTAGGTGATGTTGTTTGATAGGGTGAATCTTTTTTTAAAGGTATTGCTGTACATGTGGAAAACAAAGGGAAGGGTCATGGTTTTTGTTTTTTGTTTGGGTTGTTCTTTGGGGTTTGGGGCAGGGGGCAGGTGTTTTTTAAACCAGTGAAGGAAAATGGGACTTGTAAGACACAGATTTATCAAAATGCAGTTTTACATTCTTCTGAAATAGTTACATGTTCTTCAGTGAGATTTGGGGAAACAATTTTGAGGTGCTCAGGGATAAATAAGGTATCTGAGTTAATGAAGACATTAACATGGATGAGTCCAGATCTGCTGATTTCATTTAAATCTCTCTGGTCTTTGAATCAGGACTGTTTACATAACTTTATCGAATGTATTGAGTAAATTAAGCCAAGTATCAAAAAACAGCAGAGCATGGGTAAAATTAAAGTAAACCCTCCTTTTTTTGGCATCAACATTGTCAAATGCATCTGTAAGTTATGGCAGGAGTGATTATCTTACAGGGGTATACAGTTACCCTTATAGGGTATGCAGTCTTCTGTCACATTGGGCCATATAAAATATGTGTTGGAAAGTGTTACGTTCAACTGTCTTGATAAATGCATAATGCTTCTGATAATGCAGTAATGTATATTTTACGTGTTTACATTTCAAAGGTTTATCTGCAGTTGTATGTGGGATTTTTCCATTTTGCTCTTTAAGAAATTGCATAAACAATCTCTGACAAAATCATCGCTGTAAAAGCTGTATTAGCAGCAGCTGAAATCTGTTTCACTCCTGATGCTTTAAAAAGAAAAGATTGATCTGGAGGTACTTATGTCTTCATAGGAGGGGAAAGGGAGGGGCAGGAAGTTGTGATTCACTTTGAACTAAAAATAAATTTAAAAAAAGACAAGTATTTTTATCATTAATCAGCCTTGTTCAGCTTCTTCCCCACTGTGAGTGACCATAGCTGGTGGTGGTTTAGGAAGAGCCAGCACATGTGCAGGATGGGCACCCAGCATCCCTTTGATGGGGACAGCCAGTGACCAGGAGTGTGGGGCACTATGGTGGGGTGCTTGGCAGTGCCTTGGAACTCAGTGGGCAGACGGAACAGCTTTTTACAGTGAATTACTGTGCCGGGGGTCTGAAATCTTCCTCTTCCTCCTCAGTCTGCCCATCTCATTTTGTTTTGCTAGTTTGGATCCTCGGTGAAGGCTGTGTTAATGGAAACTCAGTGCTGTGTTGCTGAGGAGGTGAATGGCATCTTACCTGCTTCCTGGATATTTTTTCCTCTTTTTCTCTCACCCAATTAATGGCACTGTATGTTTGGCACTTATTAAGATGCTGAAGCCATTAGTGTGTAATCTGGAATACCAGTAGCCTGATTGGCCTTGTATGGTAGCCAGCTTGTTAACCATGACATCAATTTGGACAGTGATGGAGCTGTGCCAAGTATTTTCTCTTATTAGGCACCTGATGAGTCTCTTCACTCAAAAACCAGCTGCCTGGTAGTACATAATACCCTAGTGTGAAAGTGGCTTAATTTATTAAGTCTCTTACTGTGGGTTTGTTGGGTTTTTTTTCCTGTTAACATAGTTACCTCATGTTGGGTTTAGTACTTTTGCATAAGATCTCGGTAATTCTTTCTTTCAAGCCATCCTCACATTAGCGGCAAGCATTCTGCCCTGCATTTAGGAAATAATACATATTGATGCCATTTGGTTTCAAACAGGAATTCTTTTGCTTACCAACAATCAAGTATGATCACTCCAGAACTTACTGCCCTTTTTTTTTCTTCTAATCTGAGAGTCAAAGCAGCTGGCATTAAAGAAGTGCAGTCTCCAGTAATGCTTGAGCATTTCTGTGCATGGGCTGAGCCCATGGTTGTGCTAATTGCTGAGAAATGTAGACTTCTTCGGAAAAGAAAAAAAAAGGAAAAGAATAAAAACAAATCATAGCTTGCCAATGGTGACATCACTACTCAGGCTGATTCTGAATTATAGGCTTTAGTAAATGTTTAGGATAGGACAATTGCACACTGTGCTTCAGACCAGTAATTCCTTACAGCTGGTTACACCGTAATAAAATTAAAATTAAGGATTCTAGCTTTCCCTTCAGTCTTTTGTCAGTTACTTCTTGGACTTGGGCATTCATTTTTTCTTGGCTAATCATGTGTTAATGCACAAATATAAAATATTTTAGAATAATTTGGCTTTTGTTACAGGGTCATCTGGTTTATGGTCTGAATGGTTTTTGCAAATACAGATTTGAACACCGTAAACAATTACATGAAATGGCTGACACAAGCCTTAGTTACTGTGAACAAGAGTGTACCATGAGCTTGGAGCTTTGCTTCCAAGCCCTTTTAATTAGTAGACCAGGTCTGGATTCCAATTACACTCTTGTAATTCTGTTGCTTCCAATAAAGCAAAATTTGTGCTTGTATTTGCTACTGAAGTCAGTTTAGGTTCCTATCTGCATCAGTCAAGTTGAAATTTAAATACATCCTTTTTTTTCCTACAAGCTCTGAGTGAAAAGTATCCTATTGTAAGAGCTCTTATTTTGTGTAATTAAACAGTTGGTCATTTCACACGTTCAGACTTTCCAGCATGTTGTGATAGATGCATAGTCCAGGTGTTTATAATCACATACGAATTTCTGCCATGGTTAAAAGTGAGTAATCTGGCCTTTCAAATAATGAATCGCTTATCAGCAAGAAACTTAATTGCTCATAAGAAGTGTTCTGGAGTGAATCAGAGATTCTGCTCTTGCCATTATGAGTTTGGTCTTTCATCTATTTTAAGATGTGATCCAAAGGTCTTGGACATCTGCTACACAGTTAACCCTAAGAAGATTACATGTTGTTGAGGAAGACTAAAACATGTACACAGCGGAGAGGCTGAGCAAGGATTGCATATCACTTTGTTCTTCAGTGTTGGCTTAAACAAGATATAAATAAACAACAGGTCTATGTTAGTCCCATTGTATATCTGGACTAAGAGACAACATGTAGCAGGATGAAGCATTTTGTGGAGACTGGATAGGAAATGATTTTCCCATCTAATGAAAGAGCCTGAGATGTTGGATTTGTTTCACCTGCCAAAACGAGGGAAAGGGGAGCCTGGACAAGATCTCTGGGATATCAGAGACACAGGCTGGAGTCCGAAGAGGAGCATAAGCTTGTATCTCAGGCACCTGGAACCCAAGAGAACAATTTAGTTTCTGTTGTAAAGGAATTGCCAGTCTGTGACCCAAAAACTATGTCCTTGTTCAAACTAGAGCAACTCCTGCAGGAGAGACTGGAAGAGACTTGCTTTCCAATCTGAATCAGGAAAGGCAACCTTGCAAATCTGCATTCTATCTTTCCTCCCCCCGTAAAATTGCATTCTGGATCTGATTATCTCTGTTGGCCCCCAAACCCCTCCTAACTGGTTGCAGTTGGTGAAACAGTCTTGGGAATTTTTCTGAACTCCCACCCAGACCAAATTAGCTCCCCAAATCTTGCTGACTTAAAATTCAGCAGTCATCCACAAAGATGGATTGATATTAATGGTGGAAAAAAAAGTAAGAGTGGGTAAGGTTTCTGTTCTTACAGCACTTACTTTTGGAGTATAAAAGTAGATGCAACTCTCATGAGTAAGCTTAAAGGGAATGTTTCAGTCAGAGTTCCATTTCAGATGGAATTGCTTCATGGGTGATTTTGATTTTAGATGCTGTTTTTCAAAGAAAAAGTTAAGAGCTGGTGACTTAGCCCACAGGTGTTTTCTGTCTCTTTTCCTTTTTAAAAAATAATATAAAAAAAAAGCAAAATCCCTCTCCAGATTCTTGATAGTGCTATATTATGAGAAAAAAAATGTTGCCTATATGAATTTCCTAGAATAATACTAAACCCCTGCCAGCTGCATTTTACAAAGCATGAAACAAGCCATTCACTCAAAATGACACTCAGGGGGGGTACGGACTGTTGTCCACGTGCACTTCATTTTAATTTAATAGGCTTACTTTAGTGTGATTGGGTCTGTAATGCTATCCTGGGATTGCAGGAGTAAATTCTGAAAGCTGAGGCAAAGGGAAATCAGCTTTTATCAGCAGGTGCTGAGTGTCGGGGCCAAACACTGGCATTTCCTTTGCTTTTGGCAGGCCAGCATCACTGAGCATTCCATGGCTCTGCTGGAACTGCGGGTGTGCAGCCCTTTGGCTAACCCGGTTATATACATAACTGCTTGTGCTGGAACTGATTGGAAACCAAATTTTCCCTCATTATTTTCTTTGGCTGCTCATGAGAAGATGTTCTGCTTTCTCTGTGCATCCTGCTTGTATTTACCAATTAAGGAAGGAGAGTACCTGGGTGTTTCTATAAAGGTAATAACTCCAACTACCATTTATTTTATCTGCTGTCAACCAGGACTCCTGGAACTGCCTGACTGAGCAGCACTGCTGAAATACTCCTTGAGAAGCACCTTCGACTGGCTCAGCTTTTGCTGAGGTTTTGGCAGGCACTGCATGACACAGTTGTAAAAAAATCTGAGTATCTAACGCAGCGATTTGCAGACTGTGGTTTCTGAGGAGTTAAGCTGAACAGTAAACTGTGAATTCATCAGCCCAGTGTAGCTGGTTTTGAGGTCAGAAAAAAGATGGTCTGTTAGCCCCAAATTTAGGGAATCTCAGCTCTGATGCTGGCCCATAGTTACAGGCAGGAGGATGTCCGCGTGTTCCCACCTCGCTGTCAGACCTGGTCCTTAGTTTGTAAGATTCCTGGCCGCAGAAATCCTGTGTCCTCCTGCCCAGAGCACTCATCATTCTTGTGGGGAGATGGTGCTCCTTAAGGAACAGTTATTCTGTGTTTGCTCAGAAAGGCTAATTATTCTCATTAGCTTTGAGCCACTAATAAATTATCCTTCCTATTGCTCTTCCATCACTCAGTAATGAGAGCCATTTAGTGAGATCTTGCAGATACTGCTTCCTCCCTCCTTCTCTGCAACACCATTCCCTGCAAGCATTCATCATAGGAAAAAAGCTACATGAACAAAATCTTTTCAAATTAGTCTCTGGTGCCCCAGTTAAGTGGGTGGCTACATCGCAGGCATGCAGAAGAGCCTTCTTCATTAATATGTGCAATTCTGCGTGAGCTGATTAGCTCTTGCAGTTCATTTGGTAGCAAATGTGTAAATCCGTCACACTCCAAATGCCAAATATGTGCACAGCTAAATTATGGAGAAGTACGAAACTGCAAGAGTAGGAAGTCTTTTCTTGGAAGAAGAGGTCCTTACCCCATGCATTAAATTGGAGCCCTGGATTTATCTAGCATTTGTCACTCCTCTGCTTTGTCATTTTTCTGCTTGCGAAACGAGTAATTCTTCCTGTCGTGTTGATGGCCCTTTCAGTATGTGTGGGTGTTCAATTTTGTGCCTAACATTTGTAGCAGATGCCTGATATCTAGTCTCAGTTCCCATAAAATAACAATAGCCACAACACAATGCAATCTTCCTTACACAGTACGTGGTGAAAGCAAATTAACCACTTACTAACTATGTATAATTAATAACCGAGCCACCATCACCTTTCTTGTTATTCTTTTGCTTGTAAAAAAACTTGAGAAAGAAGCAGGGAGAATGAAATTAAGTTTATAAATGTCTCTTTTTCTTTTTTTTCTTTTTTTTTTTTTTTGCCAGGGCAGTGCTGCACGGTTAAATGGAACAGCGTAGCTGCCAGCACAAGGTAAGCACTAAAAATGGCACCTGCCCATGGGGAGGGGCTGGTCTGCTGCTGCAAACATTAAGTGCCCTGAGTCAGCTACTCTGGGACCAAACAAGGAAATGGGCCTTTAGAGCTCCTGATTTATGCATGATTTTATTTCTTTTCATGCCAAGTAGCTGCAGAGCCAACTCAGCCTCAAGGCCTGGACGCACCAGTGCAGGCCAGCCCAGCACCCTCCATTTTGCTTTCTCTCAGTGTACAGGGCAATTGTAGCGCAGACCCAGATTGATCTCGAACAAGAGCAACATTTTGGCATTATCTTCTGGCCATACAGGTTGTGGGAAAAGAGCTTTTTACTTCCCAAAAATTCTGCTGTGGGAAGCTGGCTTTTTCTAAGTGGATCATAAACTCCCTAGACAACATTTCCTAGAAAATGTGCAGCATAATAACAAATAGTAGCTTTTAGATTGCTGGTAATGGGACACTTATTCCTGTAGCCCCTCCTATGAACATGGAACAGGGTGATTATGTCCAGTGTTTTCTGTTGCGTCCCCAGCATTGATTGAAACCTCTCCACGAGGGTAGGATTTGCTTACTGAGAGGGAAAGGACAGCTCTATGCTGAGGCTGGCCTGCAGTGGATATGCAGTCCTCCCCAGGGACAATATAGAAAAGAAACTGTGGGTTGAGGCCTTTTCTTCCCCCTCTTTTAAAAGAGGAAGAGGCTGTCTTCAAAGCAGACCTTCCTCCATACAGTGGGAGGAGAACAGGCCCACAAGAAACCTACTGCAGAAAGGCAAAGCCTTGGTGTGATGCTGGCCAGCTCCTTGCAGGTCCCTTAGGCCTCGGGGGTGCACAACTCCTTCTACCTGCAGCAGACCCTAGAAGGATACCACACGACTCCTAATTTTCCTAAAACCCACCTCTGTGTCCAAGCCTGACTTGGGCAAGAGAGCTGAACAAAAGAAAGGACTGCATAAGTCACAGAAACAGTTCACTTTGTAATAAGGTCATGTCTCCAGTGAAGTTCCACAGTATTAGGTGCATTAGGTATATTTTTGACTGATGTATAATCTTAATTGTTGTGTACTGTTTGTACTGTAGTCCCAAGATCCAGGTCCTCATTATGCTAGATGCTCTACAAATATATAAGAGACTGTCATGCATGGAAAGGCTTTTATTATGTAAATAGGTTGTGATAAAAGAAGTAGTGTTATCTCGGTTTTACAGATGAAGCAGTGAGAGGAAGAAAAAAAAGGAGACAGCATTTTGCCCAAGGACACGCAAAGTCTGTGGGTCAGTGGTGCACTTGAAAGTCAAATCTTGATTTAGTTTCTTACCAGCTTTTCTAACAATTTGTGTAGTGCCCACAACATCATTAAAAATTAAGCACAAAGAAGACAATACCATGTGTAATTTGTCTCTATCTAGAACAATCACCCAGTGTCTCTCAGCCAAATCCTCCCCAACTCTTCTCTGTTTCTTCAAAAGCTGTATTTTTATCATGTCCAATGCTTGTGATCACCCTGCAAGTCAAGTCACAGTACATGTTGTCCTCTAATTTTCTGCAAGGTAGGTCATGTTTGAGTAGGATTACAAACCTGTTTGGGAAAAGACCCAGTCTGGGGGTCTTTTCCCAAACATGGGGGGATCCTGTGTGGGGTCATGCCTCAAGTCACAGCAGCCTGCTGAATTTATATCACAATCCTTTTAAAAACTGGTATTACCAATATTTAGGATAAAAAAAAGGACACATATACATTTCTGACAGTGAATGTAGCAAGGCATCCAGTATATTTATAACTGCTGCTCAACCCTGCCTGCTAGTCAAAAATACATATTGCTGTAACTACCTAATCTATACCAAAGACAAATAAAACACAGATTTCACTCAAGAGGCACAATATATTTTGCTTTGTGTACATCAAGATTTTATATCAGGCTTTAGGAAAGAATGTGGGAGGAGAAAATTACAGAAGTCATCACAGTCACTGGAAAACAGAGTAAAATTGAATTGGCATTTACTAAGGCTGACTAATACCAGACTAATTCAATAGCTTTCTCTGATACAGTAAGCAATTAGCTCAACAAAGAAGGGAAATCTAACCGTCTGGACTTCAATAAAGTAGCTGACGAGAAGACGTGCATAAAATCGTGTGTCCTACATGGAGAAGTCTGAGATTTATAGAGGTACTGCAAGGTGTATGTGGTGTTAGAATTAGAGAAGATGTGTAGAAAGGGAATTATTCAGAAGTCATAAAAAATAAGCCTCAGTGTTGATTATTATTATTTTCATTAATGACCCCTTGAGAAAACAGAAGTTCCTGATCATTAAAATGTATCAAAGTCACAAAATTAGGAGGTATTATCAGTGTAAAGAAAGTTCATAATATCCCACAGCAAGAACTGAATGTCCTTGAAGAGTAAGGCCACAGAAGTAGTGAGCTAGCAGCAGAAAAATATCTGCCAGAAACCAGCAACAACACTGAAAGGTTTTTAACCATTTGCCCCAGTGCATGTGGACATGGCAAAAGCAACTGAAACTGTAAAATGCAGTAGCAGAGACATTTCCAGAAGTGCAAGGAAAGCATGAATGTCATTGTAGAAGGCCCCAACGAGATTTTGTTTGGAATTAGATGCATTATTCTCATCAGTCACGTTAAGGAAAGCTGAATTCTTAATGGAACAGGTAAAGAAAAGGGCTGCTCAGATGTGGAGGAGATTGGAGAACCTTTCATTAAAGGAAAGTGTGCGTATGCAGCTCATTTAGCCTAGCAGCTGCACACCGAAGTATGGTTTTATTACTCTTTGTAAATACATCAGGTGTAGTAAATATGAAAGGCAATCTTGGCACATAGCAAACAGGTATAAATTGTGAATGAATAATTTTGATTCCCTACTAAGTGTTCTTTATCCACCTGCATAGTGAGGGTGTAAAAATTAGGGGGATAAAACCACACCTAGCTCCAACATGATGCTCATAGAACGTGTTAAATGCATTATGTAATCCAGTTGTCTGAAGTACCTGGGGGCTGGATTTGATAACCCAGAAAGTCCTGCCAGTCCTACGTATTAGCATATCCCTGTGTCTTAGCAGGTTTCTATTGTAGTGAGCTATCACCTCCATCTCATAATCTTATTAGATATTATAGTACCTAATAATCCCTTCAGTCCTAAGAAACCATTTTATCTTTCTAAATTAAATTTCAAATAGAACATCCTAACTGTGGATTACAAAGCCATATGTGTTTTATTTTTCTTACTCAAGTAAGATTGTTGTGGCTATTATCATAAACAAATTCCTTAAGGGACCAAGATCTGAATATACATTATAGTGTTTATGGCACAACTGTACCAACAAATAATGATTTCCTTATTTATTGTAATTGTTTAAATGGCTCCTAATGAAATTTTTGGCCTCATGAAGTGATCAGCTTGGAATGACTTTCCTTTCTATGAAAATATTTAAATACAAACAAAGTCTGCCAATGTGTTCAATTACAGTCATGTAGGGAACTAAAGGGATTATGTGTAGTAGGAGTGTATTCATGTGGCTTTCCAGATCAGCTGCTTCTACCAGAGAGGGAATGAAGTAAGTGGAACAGCCCCAAAGAGAGACCATTACTGTTGGGATGGCTTGGGACAGGATCACCAGAAAAGCTCACTTGTGTTACTTCCATAAGCCCACAAAGCTGATGGACCTGTAAATAAAACTGCATTAGTAACACGTTGCTTTTCAAACTAATTGAGATGCAGTGTGAAGATTACTTTTCAGAAATATGATGTTCTTTATGCAGGAGATCATGCTGGGCCCTGCTGCAACAAGAGCCATTGGGATAATGATGCTCTATTTTGTTCTAACATCTGCATTTATTACCAGTGAGATACTTTATGTGATATTATGAGGTGGCTTCAGACTCACAAAGCCCTTGAGAATTTAACACTATTGTTCCATAAAAGAAATGCTTCTGCCCATCACAGGCCCCAGTGCAGAGGGCTTTTGAAAGAGAAACAAGGAAATAAACTGGGTATTCTGCTGATGATTTTTCTGACCTTGCTCACACTTCTGCTGATGCTGTGTTAGCAAGAACAGTTCATTCCAGTGAATATAATCTTAGCTCTTGTGATTATGGACACAGGTTTCTCTAAAATTTGATGCAATTTTTTTTTTTTTTTTCAGAGTGCAGAATTGTTAGAACGTCACAAACAGCTGGGTTTTTAGCCAGCACCATGACTTCAGGAGCCTGGTTGAGAGTTTAAAGCACTTGTGATGATGCTGGGCAGCAGTCAACACATTCATGGATTCAGCATACCATTATTTTCATGGGAATTGCCATTACCATCCAAGAAGCAGGAAGCACACTAATGGATTATTAGCCTGATTTTCAGCTAAAGCTCCAGCATGAATAATAACTCCAGCTTCAAGCACCACACTTTAAGAAAGATAAAAAAAAATCTAGAGAAAGGAGCAATAGAATTATAAAGATGTTCAGTAGACATAAGGGGTTTGTGGTGGTTTTGTTTGTTTGGTTGGTTTTTGTTTTTAGTAAGATGAAAGGCTCTGGGTTTAATTAGCCTAAATCAAAGAAAGCTTTTATTTTCCCCATAAAACAGGGTTACAAAGTGGATCAGCAATCCGATACATTCCACAGTTTAATTTGCTGTAGAGAAAACTGAAGTTGAATTTTCTGAATGACCTTCTGAGGGCCCCTTCTGACCTCTGTGCTTCTCCTGTGACTCCATCATCGACAAGCACAACTGCTGCCAGCCTCTCAGGCTGGATATTTTTCCTTGGGGAAACCTGATTTAAAAGTCCTGTTTAAATCCAATGGACAAAGCCTAAAGGTCGTCTTCCCTACTTTGAGTCATCTAAAAGCAAGGTGTGAAAGTGCGGCTGGACATGTCTGCTCCCCCTGCAGTGACTGAGGAGAAATAGCAACAAAGAGCTTCACAGTGGGCTATTTCCAGATCATTAAACTTTGGTGAGATAAATCCCATCCTAACTTGTCTCTGAGTGTTCACTGCTGGGTTTTGCTTTCAGCTGGCTGATAACACATTAAGCAAGCACATGGCTTCATTGTTTTGTTGTACCAAGTAACATGCTGCCATCTCTGAGGGATTTGACACCACAGGGTCCTCCCTGTCCTCCTCTCTTGTCAATTTATGATGCTGTCCATACTCTGTCTCTTACCTCTTCACCTCTTCCCCTCTTCTTCTTTCAAAACACCTACATTCCTCTCCACTATTTGGTTTCCCTTTGCACTGACTGGATTTACTTCTTACAAATATCAGTTTTATCTCTGGCTGCAGCTTTTACTGATTTATTCAGTGCACAATGCCCCTCTAACAATGTTTTATGGCTTTTGTGTATTTGGGGAGTCAATGGGACAAGACTATTTTAAGTGTAACTGGCTGGTTAGCCATGCAAATTCTTGAATAACAGGTATGATTTAGTGTTCACTGTGAGAGCTGAGTGCTGGAGCTTTAACCTGATTCTGCCACTATCTCTGTCAGTGACCTCATGCGATTTCTGTAACCTCTTGGGGCCAGGTCTACCTGAAAATAAAGAATACTGCATTCTTCCCCTAGAAATGTGTAAGTCTTAATTAGTATACGTGTGTATAGTTTTTGAAGTCCTGTTTATGTAAATGCAAAACCCTTCAAAACATTTACAAAGGTCAAGAGAATTTTAGGGTGGAAACATAAGGAGTTCAGAACTAGAAAAATTAAAATTACACATGTATGCACTTATCACAAACCTTTAGCAGCCTCTAATTAAGTAATCACTCCTTCTCAGCATTACAGTAGATGCTATCATATGCCGTTAAATTGTGTAGCAGCTTGTAATACTGTGCACTCTGTTTATACAGGATAAGGACTTTCTGGAAATCATTCAGAATAATGTATCATCTGAATGTATGCTGTAGTTGTGCCTACTCAGTCAGGATTGAGATGTTCCCATTCTCAACTCTACAAAAACCTGTTAGGGAACGCTATTTCTTCCTGACAAGACACTAACTCAGAGACACAAAGTTGCTTATTCAAACAGGCAGACCCTCCATCCCTTGCCTGGCTGAAACAAGGCTTTTTGTGGTGCACATCTTTGGCAGTTTCCCCCCAAGAAGGAGGGATACTACAAGAAGGATACTCAGAAAAGAGCCTTCTCCTGTGGTCTCCAGGATATCCGTTTTTTTTTTTTTCCTTGAGCTTTTATGTTCAGAGAAAAACTACTCCACTAAGCACCTTCAGGTGACCTCTCCTGCAGTGGCCTCTCTGCTCACCTGTGCCTGCCTTCCTCTCCTACATCTCCATGCCACCTGCATCTCCTGACTCCCTGCCTCACGGCTTCCCTGTCTCTTCCTCTGAAAACAATCTTTCTCTTGTTGCCAACTTCCCTCCACTTCTGTTGCTCAACTCCAGAGCCATAGTCAACCTCATACCCCCTGCTGCAGCCTTGTTTGACACAGTTTGATTCCTCAGCTTGGCTGAGCTTTGCTTGAAGCACAGGGGAGAAACCCTGGAGGTTGACAGGGCAAAGTTAATCTCCAGCAATAGCAACTTAGTAAAGTCCAAGAGACCATTTTATCACACCTGGATCACCAGCATCCTCAGGGGCAGGGAGTGAGGTGATGTCTCACAGGTATCCAGGGTTGCCATAGGTGTCCACTTAAAAATAGTCTATGCTGCTTAGAGAAAGCAGACTTAAGGTTGGAGAGTGTTAATATGCTTCAGTGCTGTCCTCCTGCTTGTCATGCTCCTAAGTGAAGCCCAGTAGAGCCCATAAGTCCAGAGTGCAAGCTACATTATGATCCAGAGAAAACTCCAGGGACAAACTCACCAACGAAGTTTTCAAGTTGACAAGGAGGTATTCTTTATTGCGGTGCCGGGAGACACAGGGGATAGCTTCTCCTAACATGTATCACCATATTGCTACACAAGATGTCCTTATGTAGTTACTGATTATACATACATATTCGTGAGGCTACACGTGAATTACATCATTTTCCAGAAAGTTTCCTGCATGTGTACAAAAATGTGATGGTGGTCTTTGAGGGTCGTTTACGTCTCCCAACAATCTTCATGACTTCTGGCAGTCTTTGAAGCACCAGCTTAATTAACATTACAGACATAGCAATCATCCTGTGCTTCTACCTATCAGTTAGTTTAACTGCTCCAACCCTGGACATCTGCTAGTCCCAGATACTCCCCATCCCCAGGTCCTGTTTTTCTATTCTGTTTTTCCTACACTTTTTGTACTAAGGTCCTAAGGACCTAAACCTATGTCAACTACCTTCAAGCACCACAGTTATTTTCCATTGCAAAGCCACCAAACTTAACGTTACCTAGAACTGATTACATTTTGTGCATTTGTGCCTCTTTGTCTCAATTACCTTTACCCTGACACTGTTTGCAATACTACAAGCACTTGGATACTGAAGTAGTAACAGATGGAAGGAGAAATTAGAAGGCGTTAGCAAGGAAGTAAGCTGCTTTCATTTCAGATTTGAGCCAACAGACTAAAATTGTATGATACGGAAGGGAAACAGTAATGTTGAAGGGCAATACAGGGAGAAAAATATTCTTGTATCAGTAAAGAAACTATTGTAAAATAGGAATGTCACTTTGGGATTAGTAATGAGATTTGCGAATTTTATTTTTAGTATTGCCATTTATTGCCAAAACATGCCCAGTTGGTTTGTCTGGAAATGAATTAGTCTAGCAGCTGGTGTTATCTCTGTGCAGTTCTTCTAGTGACAACTATGACACCATCAACCCTGCCTCCTCCCCATCAGCAGCTGTATTTGCTGCATCAGAAAACAGCCAGGGTGGGTCTTGTGACATATACAGCACATGCCGAGGTGTGTATGTGCCCATTGACCCTGGTGGAAATTAGGCAACTACAGTTGAACACGATTACACAGGAGAACCCAAGGAGCACAATTACTAAACCACAGTTCTTTCGAAAATGAGGCTAATTAGAGTTAGCCAAAGAGGTGTGAAGCAAAAAACAAGCACCACCGTCCTGACACACTGGGGGCTCTTTGCAACACGAGTGGTGCTAGGACACTTCACGTCATTTGACCAACGGCCACCAACCCAACGTCCCAGCCGGGCAGCCCTGTTCCGAGCGGCGGAAACGCCTGCACCAAGCTCTACCACCAGAAAACATTGGTTCAGACCCCCGCCTCACAGAGCCCACGCCGCAGGAAACAACCCCTAGCTACGCGAACCACCCCTCAACCCCGCCCTCACGGCCAGGCTGGCCCCGCCCCGCCCCGCCGCCACTGCGACGCCGCAGCCCCGCCCCGCGCCGCCTGCGGAGCAATAGTGCGTCCGCTTCCGCGTCATGTGAGAGCCGTTCCCCCGTCGGCGGCTGGATGCGTGCAGACGTGGACAGTACCCACAATGCGTGGCGCTTCCCGGTGCTGCTGCCGATCCGCTTCGGTGAGGCAAGTACCTCGAGCCCCTCCCCCGCGGGGCCGTTGCCAGGCTACACAGCGTGCCCGCCGCCCGGGGCCCGCCGGCGGCAGGGGGGACAGGAGGAAAGGAGGGAGGCCGAGGGACGGGACTGTGCTGGAAGATGCTGCTACAGGGCTCTACGTCTGCCCGCTCTACCCCGGGCCGCGGTCTCGGTTGCCGCCTGCGTTCTTCCTTCAGCTCCAGTCCCGGGAGTGCCGGGCTGCTGCAGCGCTGTTGATGTGCCGGTGCGGGCGCGGGTCTGCTCCTGCGAGGCGAAGCGACTTGTCACCGGTTGTTCCGCCTTGCGGCCGCCGTCCGCCGGGGTTACTGTGCCCTAGGGTGGCAGCCTGGCCGCTGGAGCTGCAGGGTGAGGGAGGGGCCCGGCACCGGCGGCCTTCAGCCGCGGGTCTCGGAATTTGCTCCTGGCTGGGTGCAGCCGGCAGGGCAGGTGCGGGGGGCCACCGCGGCACCTCAGGCCACTTCGTAAAAGCCGTTTCGTTTCCTATTAGAAGCCTCTTGTAGCAGGGATCTGTTGCTGTCCCGGTTTGCGGGGTTAGGCAACAGCGGTTTTGTATGAAGTTTTTCAGTCTCAGGCAGTATGAACCCATTTGAGTCAGTAACCACATTGCTTCTTCCTGCTCTGTGAATAATAGTGTCAAAGCTACCATATAAATAGATGATAGATGAAAGGGTCTGGTTCCCAAACTTGGGCATGTGGCTTGTTCTGTTCCCTTAGTTTTTCATAATCTTGACTCCGTCTCCCTCTCTTTTTCCTGTGCCTTATGGGAAGGATTATGTGGGCTAGTGGTTTAAGATTATTTCCTTATCTGATCATAGCTGATGATGTCAAAGTGGCTTTATTCGTTATGTCCTTCTGTAGCACTTTAGTTTGTAATATGGATTTCTGAAGTATGCTGTAGAGTGGAAGAATTAAGACTCCTGCCTGCATAATGCAGCTGTCACAACTCTCAAAAGTGGGACAGAAAATGATCCAATACTACTATGTACGCTTGAAGTAAACACAGAAACTGTATCTTCCTTCTGTGTCATGCAGGTGTGCGCCTTGCACCCACTTCCCAGTTTTATATTTTATGGAAGGTTACCATAAGAGGCACATATCCTGGCAGGAAGTGCCTTGATTAAGTTGGTGCTGAAGGCTAGGCAGGTACACTAGGGTAGGCTTGCCATTGCACTAGATCTGCTTAGAATCTTTCATATTTTGTGAAGCTAGATCCTTTTTAAAAAATTGTAGTGTCCTGAGTAAACAGTGTTCTCAGGTCACTTTCAAACACTTGTCAAAAAAGTTACAAGAAGATGTCAGAGGGGTATAAAACAATTACTGTAAGATCGCAAGTTGGAAGACCAATTTATTACAAAGGAGTGGAACACATTCCACTTTCTAGGACTTTAGTAGATGCTGCCTTAGGATCAAATACCATAATAACATGAAAATAAACAAGCTGATAATTGAATATGTATTAAAAAAAGTACAGTAAACCAGACTCTGGTTTCCATCATCTGAGATTTCCCACTCATGGGAGGAAATCAAACTGAAGCCACATATGACAATTCTTATTTTCAAAAGCAGGGGAGGTTGACATGTATGGTAAGTTAGCAGCTTCAGGGAGGGATGACCATTTTGGTTGACAGTTATCAAAGCTGCGGCCAGCTTTCCTCATGTTCCTCTTTTCCAGGAGCTCTCCCAGTTCTTATTTGCTGAGAGGGCTGTAAAATGTAGGGGTAAGGGGAAATCAATAAAGATGAGTCAGAATTAAGCACACACAGGGAAACTAAGAATAGCACAAGCATGGAGTGATGCTTCTGTGGTGTACTGTCCCTGTTGGTGACTGTTTGAGGGCAGAATCTTGATGAGCAAATGGTAGTGTTTCAGTTTTAATCACCCCTGTAGTTTTTCTGTGAATTGTTCCAATTGCCTTTTGAATTCACATAACATCTTAGCATCAGCACATCCTGTGACAAGCAATTCCACTGGCACATTCACAAAATTGCATATTTTGTGAAGAACGATCTGTGGTAACCTTGAGCTGAACACCTGCTGGTTGGGTATGGTGCTCTTCAGTTCTGTCATAGAATGAGATAGTGAACCCAATCCCTGTTCATTTCTTTGCACCCGTAATGGATTCATACACCATTTTTGGTGAAAGTGCAGTCTTTTGTCATCTTCAGGTGTTTGATGAATATAGATTTTTTTGGAGAAAGACCTATGAAATTTGTGATAGTGTGGTGAATTACTGTGTGCGGCTCTGTATAGATGTATATAAAAGACATTTAATGACAGTTCTAAACCTACTACTGTATCTTTAATGTACTTTCTTCAATTTCTATATCCATAAGTCTAGATCAAATTTATCACTTGGCTCCTTCTGTAGAGCTTTATTGTTTTGAGAGACAATTACAATAGTTCTTTCATTTTGAAGATTTAGTAAACTTTTTCTCTATATTAATACATTTTCAAGTAAGGCTGAATGTTCTCTTGCAGTACGTGTATTACACATCTCTTTACATATGTGTGATCTTGCAGCCAAAGTGATTTTCTTTTATTGGCTGCATTTTTTAGATAGCTTGCTGATTTCACTGTTAGGAAGCTGAGGAAAAACTGCATATTTTCACTGGGTGGGTTTTTAAGGTGATGGTAATCAAGCGTGGGTGACTGGTGATCATAAGACTGTTCATCTAACCACCATTTTTACCTTGTGTGATTTTATGGTACATTGAGAGAATTGGAGGGTTTTAATGGAGGCTTGTCTTCTGTTACAGAGACTAATTTCTCTACATATAAGTAGGAGTCTTGAATCAAGTAACTCTTTTTTTGTTCTATATTTGTGTGAATATTCATTTACCTATAGAGTAGACATAAAAATTGAAAGAATACTCTGAAGAGGTCTTTATCCTTTGCTTTGTCTGTTGTCCATGCATACATGCTGTTATCGGTGATATTTGCATTCTTTGTCCTTAGTTGTAGGAGTAAAGCAACTATTGTTAGATTGACTGTTGAAAATCTTAATGCTTTGAAAATACAGTGGTAGTTGTGTTCTGTTCTGTTCCTGAAGTGTTCAAGTTTCTGATCAGAGGAGATTATAGATTAATTAAAGTTAGTGTATGAGGTAGATGATGACATTCAGAGTCAAAGGTTGCTTTACCCTGAGTTACTCATGACTGGGCAGACAGGTAACATATTTTCCCATTTTAAATGGCAGAAATGATCGGACTTCTTCAAATTCACTTAAAGAATAGGAATTAACTTAAAAAGTAGAAACATTTTAATACTTCTCTTATTCTACTCTTCTTTTTACTTGAATTCATCTTGAGTAATCTCCCTGGGATGTGTCTTTCCAATAAGCATGGTGTCACAAAAAGAGCTGAAGAATCTTGTTAGCCAGTAAATACATTTATTAACTTTTTTCTGTTGGTTCTTTTCTCACCAGATAGCTCAACATGAACTTCAACTGTCAAGATCATTTTAAAAGTGAAGAGAGCAGTATTTTTCCTTCTGAGAGCTGGCTGCGGGATTCTGAGTTTCTCCTGCAGTACTGTCCTATTCACTACCATTTCCTAAACCAGGTCATGGAGCTATGTTGCGTTCTTCATGTTAGGTACTAATGAAGTTACGTGCTTCGTCAGTGGAAATGCAGATCCATGAAATTACATTTTGTGCAAGTAAGTTAATGAGGGAAATGTTAAACTTTGCTATCACGTCATTGTTGTTTGTTTATGTTCATAGAATCATAGAATAGAATCATAGAATAGTTAGAGTTGGAAAGGACCTTAAGATCATCAAGTTCCAACCCCCCTGCCATGGGCAGGGACACCTTGCTCTAAACCGTATCACCCAAGGCCTCATCCAACCTGGCCTTGAACACTGCCAGGGATGGAGCATTCACAGCCTCCCTGGGCAACCTATTCCAGTGCCTCACCAACCTAACAGGAAAGAATTTCCTCCTTATATCCAATTTGAACTTCCCCTGTTTAAGTTTTAACCCATTACCCCTTGTCCTATCACTACAGTATGTTGATGTAGCTCCCGAAAGTCCATTTTAGCCTTGAGTTCCAAATGGTACAGGAGGCTATTGATGGAGAGCCATTACAATGTAAAGCTTCTCTGCAATTTTTTTATGCTCTTGAGCTGCTGCTGTGGTTATGTGGTTAGCAGCATAGTTAAGAAGAGGGGTGCCAAGTGCATACATTTGAATTGCCCTGCTGGGAGCACATGCATGAAGTCAAGATAGAATAAAGTTTCTAGAACTAGTTTCTGTGTTTAACTTCTAGAATGCTTCCATGCAGAAAGCTAATTTAGAGCAAGCCCTAACGTTGTCTTGTTTTCTGATTTTCTAACTGATCAAGTCATTTTGTACAATAGGGAATTCTATAGTACTGAAATAATAAGCGTACCTGGTAAAAGCCCAGAGTTGTTCAGCAGAGTGCAGGCAACAGTGACTTCTGCTACAGCTATGACTGGTGAAAGTCTGATATGCTCTAGAAGTAATTACAAAGGTATTAATGTGGAATTTTTTAGGTCATGTCATGCATCTGAAAGCAAGTTGAAGTTTGACTTGAAGCAGTTTGACTGCTAATATAGCTGAATTTCTTAAATTGAAAATTACAAGGTATTTGCAATAATTTCATTATTGTATGCCTCTCTGAGGAGTAAATACCCTTGAAAAAACTGAATACTGATTACTATTCAGTAAGTACCCTGATGTATATGTAACCTTTGAGTAGTGTCAAATAGGGGAGGTGACATTTCCGGTTTAAAAAAATAGCTGTTTCCTCTCTTTTATGGAGAGGCAGTTCTATTTTGGGAAAACTTGGATTCCTAATTTTTCAGAATACGTGAAAAGTCCTTCAGTTGCCAAGGCTTGAAAGCACCTTAATGTCATGGTTTGAAAGGTGCTGTAAACATGTCAGTATTGCACATGAAACCATATTTCAGCTGTATTCAGAAATCTGTTTTCCTTTGCAGTTTGTGACTCTATGGAACTTGAGTAGCATCATCTGAGGAAGGCGAAAATCTGTTTTTCTTTTTTTCATAGTCTCTGAAGTGATAGGTGTACATGGCAGGAGTCTGCAGAGTAGTGTTAAGAGTTGAGGAAGTGTTTGCTTTTGGCTTCATATAAATTCTAGCAGCTCGCCCACTTGTAAGAGGACAAATTTGTGTACTGAAACTTAACAGATATGTATTCCTTCTTTTAATGTTTGTCTTGCTAAACTTTTGGATGTTTTGATTTAATGTAAGATTTGAAGAAATTGAAGGTTTTAAAAATGTCTTTAGTCTTGAAAGACTGTCTGCAGGATATGTGTTTATACTGTTAAATACCTGCTATAAATTTTCTCCTTGTGATCAAGAAATGCTTAAATACACAATTTTTTCTTTTTTAAGTGACTTTATTACACAAAACTTTAATTATTATGCTTTGAAAATTAAATACTGTGATAACAGGTAGGCTTTGCAAGCACCATTTCAGCCTGCTCAGTGTTTGTGTGATACTTATAGATGCATTTGCAGATTTAAAGAAAGTGGAGACACATATAACTAAAAATGTGTTTCATGTTAAAGAAATTCCAGTATGAGTTGTGAGAGAGAGATTACATTCCTTGCTGTCCTCATCCTAGATTTCCTATTTGATGGTATGTAAGTTACTTAAGTCTCAGTCAGGGCACTTAAGCATGTACTCAGTAACACAGTTTCATGAAAGCACATTAATATTATTGCTTGATCAACTCCTGGATCATTTTGCATCTGGCATATCCTTACAGTACATGGTTTTCCTCTCCAGCTATTCTTCTTTGTTTAAGCTATAATCATCTCACTAAACAAAAAGACTCACAGCTTCAGGGCTACAAGTGCTACAGTAGTACTAAAACTGAGTTATAATAGTTTTTCAGTCTCCATAGGTATCTAGGTGAGGATTATGGCAGTTCAGATAACAATATTTGAAAATGTGACATTAATGTCAGATGTGTTACTGCTTTGTGGTTTGCTTAGACTAATAGGTCCTATGCAGTTCGGACTCTAATCTGACTTGCAGTTGAAAACCTTCCCTGTGCCCTATGTTAATTTTGAGCCCAGTATATAGCTTGGGATGTTTGAATAATTGCAGTTGACTCCTTTGTTTTTGTTTTAATTCTGATTCCTCCTGATCTGTGTTTTGTTGTAGGTTGTTGTTAACTGTATTGGCAATGTCTATGATTTTATCTGCCTCTGTGGTCCGTGTGAGGGATGGACTCCCACTGTCTGCATCTACTGATTATGACCAGAGCATGGGAATGCAGGAATGTAGAAAATACTTTAAAATGCTCTCAAAGAAACTTTCTCAGCTTCCTGATAGATGTACTCTGAAAACCGGGCAGTATAATATAAAGTAAGTTTTTCTTTTTCTATATTTGCAACATTTCAGGTTGTGTCTGGCTAAGTTAAAAAGTTAACAGTTCACATTAGAAGATTGATTCTTGGCTGTACTTATGTATCAGAACTTGATTGAGAAATTACAGAAAGATCTGAAATGTACTCAAACTTTAGTGGAAATTCTAGTTTGAAATAGACAGTATGTTTATAAATATTTAAGCCCTTGACCTACTAGAAATAATTTCTTTAAATTTCAAGGTTGTTTCTTATACGAAAGCGACCAGACTTGTACTTCATCATGCTACTTCAACTAGTGTTCATTGCTTTTTCTCTTTTTAGTCTGCACGCATTTTAGAAAGTACCCAGATACTTTCATAACCCAGCATGGAATTAGGCCCTTTCATTGTATTTACAGGATTTTGGTTGTCTTGAGAGGAAAATATGCCCTAAACCCCAGAATAACTCAATAATTTTTTGAAATGGCACAAAAGGGAGTGTGGTAGTGGGAAGGCAGTATGTAGTCAAGTGGTGAATGGTAGAATGGAACCTACCAATCCTGTTGCTTCGTTCAGCACTTTCACAGCAATGCTTTTTGTTTTCACACTTTTATGTTTTGACTTTTTGTTCTAATAACTTTCTAATTTCTTTAGCATGTCAGTTCCATAGTGTACCTGCATGACAATACTGATTAATTACCAATTCAAAAGATGCTCTTTTTTTTTTTCCATTTGCAGTGTGAGATTTGCATTGTTGTGAAATAACTCTTTGAATCTGATTTTGTTTGTGTGTGAAGTTACTCCTTAGTATTGGTACCTAGGTGTTCCTGTGTGTAGTCAGTAATCAGGTTGCTCTTTAGCTGAGCTGAATTCTGATTCTAATTTAGATATGTTATTTTAAATGAGGTGAGTAATTTCATCCTAACCCCTAGCAAACATGTAGAAGTTACAGTGGTGAAAAGTATACCACCTAAATGATCCTGTAGAGTGCTCCACCTTCTTCATGTCCCATTGGTAGATGTGCGTTTCCAGCATTTCTCAGGATCAGGCCCAGCACAGACTTAATTTTTTCTAGTTGATGTGTCTTTTAAAACCTCAGCTGTAGTTGGCTTGTAAACTGGTCAGTTTCAAAGAAACTTTTAAGACTGAGGCATAAGATTTAGTCAGGAAGTTTTTTTTATTAGTTTTGGCTTTGATTACTTCTAATAATATAGATTATGAGGAAATTTGAATGTCTTATTAAATGGTTTAATGAATTGCTTAAATGCAATAGATATATGTATATTGAAAACTGTCCTTTTCTGATTTCGTATTTGTCATCTCTGGTCACCCTTCCGCCTGTCTTTGGAGAATGATGAATCCTGTATTCTACAGAGCAATTTTATTTTATTACATATTTTAGAAGGAAGCAACTGCCACACTTCCCTGCGCCAGCCCCAATCTGAAGATAAGTTTTTGCATCTTTGGGATGTGCCAAATTAGTGTATTCTGCATTTGAGATGAATGAAAAGCTATTATGGGACAAACCTACTGTTTTTATCCTGAAAGTTTTATGTTATTTTCTTTTCCATATATGTAAGAGTGTGTACATACGCATACGCACACATACGCACATTCATACATAGATGTGTATAACACAGCTTCTCATATGACCATACAAGGTGGTGTTAAATTAAAACATTACCTAAAAGTAAATTGTTTTCCTTCTACAATAATGTTGCACTTCTCGGTAAACATTAGTTTCCTTAATACCCCAGGGCAGTTTTTGCTCTTCTGCTTATAGAATATGAAATCAGAGTAGCGAAGCAGCAAATTACCTGAATTCAAATTTGAAATTTTCAATTTGTTGTCTCAATTACAGCTTTATAAGTTCTCTGGGAGTAAGCTATATGATGTTGTGCACTGAAAATTATCCCAGTGTCCTGGCTTTCTGCTTCCTGGATGAGCTTCAGAAAGAATTCATCACTACCTACAATATGATGAAGACAAATACTGCTGTCAGACCATACTGTTTTATAGAATTTGGTAAGGATCTGACTTCTTTTTCTTGATTCTCACACTAGGACAAATGAGTATTTAAATAGACGTGCAATTTAACATACACAAAACAAAAATGTCCAAGGCAGTTTATAGCTGTATTTCAGTGGATTTAGAATCTGATTTACCTCCCCTTAGAATCAATAAAGAAATACTTCTGTGGTCATTAAATTAGGCTACTAGAGTTTTATCCAAACTTGTTTTTAATCTTTCTGTTCTTTCCAGCAGGTTTTGGTTTAAGCCTTATGTGACTAAATCTGGAGTTCATGTTTTAGTTAATTATACTAGAAGTTGTTTGGCTTCAGACCTGTTGAAATAATTAATGCCTGTAAAGGCATTTAGCTTAATAAATTTATCAAGTGAAAGACTGCAATTTCATATTTGCTCTTAGCTGTGGAGTAATTTTTGTTCAGTACATGAACGGACAGATTTTTGTTTGTTTTATGATATAGTGAAGCATTAAATCTTGTCATGCAAGCTCCAAATACAACTAATCTCATGTATATCAGATAACAGGTGTTAATGGATTCCATTAATATCTGTAGCTTTAATACTAAATGTTAGGCAGGTATTTTAAACATTCCTATAAAATACATTAGAGCACAAAGGATGGCGATTTTAGAAATTTGGGGGAAGATATTCCAGTTGGTCAATTCCTGTCTATAATTCAGTCAGGCAATTTCTAACAGTTTCTGTATAATACTGTTGTCTTACTTAGGAAGATTTCTGTGAATACTTTATATTTTCCCCAGCGCCTTCTTTGTTCTACTAGTTGTTCAGTTAGAATGTAGATCTGTTACAGTCATTAGATCTGTATAATATGATAATAATTTTCTCCACCTGAATATTTTGCACACGTTTCATACTCAAGTAAATTTATACTTGAATGCAGGAATTCATATTTTCCTGAAGGATATTTACCAAACTAATGGAAAAGCGAATTAGTGCAGTAAAATAATTGTATTTGCAATGGATTTAGTCTCGTGCAGAGAAAAGTCATTAGTTTATTCAGTCATTATGTAATTAGATTTCTAGAGCTCAGTTTATTTTTTTAGTGCAGAATTAAATAGCAGAATAATACAAACCAGAAATAGTATTAAAAAACAACCAAAATAAAACCAAGCATTTTAGACAGCACATTTCAATTTGTGAAGCGTGTCATACATAAAGCTGCATGGTCTTGGATTATTTAATTAACAAAAGTCTATGAATATATACCTTTTTATTTAAAACTTTGCACAGATAATTTCATTCAGAGGACCAAACAGAGATATAACAACACACGTTCTTTGTCAACAAAGATGAATCTCGCTGACATGCAGACAGAGATCAAACTGAGACCACCTTACCAAATTTCCTTGTCAGAACTTGGTTCAGCTAATGGATTTGCACATTTATCTGTGGCTGAATATAAGGGTACTGGTAAGATATCTGCAGGTAAGTTTCAGCCTTTGGTTTTGTATCCTTAAGTGAGACAGGTGCAGGGTAGTAGAATTAATCTTTGATACTTTTTTCTTTACAAAAAACTTTTTCACCATGGTGTTCTTAAAGCAGAAAGCTGCCATGACCTTACATGTGTTTTACCTTAGATGTCTAAAGTTTTGTCCTCTGCTCGAAGTGCATATATTTCCAAGGCATGCAGAGGGAGAAATGGGTCTATCTAATGGACTGCTTTATTGAAGGGAAACAAAAAGCCTACATGAAGATAAGCAAATGGGGGTGAACACTTAACAAGATGATTTTTCTTTTTCTGACCTTTTAAGATTTATGAAAATGTTTATTATTCTTGCCCAGTAAGACCCAATGATTACGTAAGCGAGAGCATAGTTTCAGGACTTAGAGCACCTGGAGGGAGAAGCAACACTTCAGGAAGTATCTGTGACTGTGAAAATCCCAAGAACTATGCTGTCTAAAGGATATACTCTCAAAAAATAAATGCCTTGTGTACAGTGTTAATAATAACAATTTTGTATATACTTGCCACATGCATGTAAGTAGTTATTAATTTTTTTTAACTTTAATTTACTTCATGTAGGAGGTAAATAATGGGATTCTGTGGTTTGTGCTGTTAAGTGACTGCTCTGAATCTGTTTGAGGGCTATCTTTAAGGCATTTCCCAGCAGGACAGATCCATTAAAACTCACCAAGTCCTTGCAGTAATATGTGGAATCCACTTGTGAAACTCTGGAGTTTACTTCACATAGTCTGATTTCAGCCTTCCAAGTTTAGTGAAGCAGAATAATAAATAGAATAAAATGAAGGGTTGATTTTAATTTGTTAATATTTTCCCCTTTTTTTTCTGAAGTACCTCTTTTCTATAAGGCTAGTTATCCTGGGCAAACATACATGGATGCTGCTCACTTTATAGTGTTGGGATGAAAATTGCAATCATAAATCTAAACACTTCCTACAGTTTTGTAATATAAGAGCTCAGCTTAATTTTATGCAGTTTATATATATGCATGTATATGTGTATACATGTACATTAAAAATAGAATCACTTTGTCAGTATATTATCCTAATTGCTTTACTTATAAGGATTCCTCTAGAAAATTAAAAACTACTTGGTCCTAGTCTGCCTTATGTGTACTGCTGAGGCCTTGCGCGTGAGGATTCTAGGTGCTATAAGACAGTGTAGAGAAAGCCATATATAAGGACCTTTTTTACTGTGAAGTGAAATGAAACAATAATTACCAGATGATCTTCCAGTTTTTTCCCCTACCTTTCCACAACTTGACTTACAGAAGCATTTCTGCTCTCTTCTTTTATTTCCATGTCAATTTTCTTCTGTTTCTCTTTCAGTTACTTTTAACTTCCTTCTTCCTCTGAATTCCGTAGATCTCTCTGATCAGTCACCTGCTTACTTCCTTGAATTGATGTAGAAACTCACCATCAAAGTACTGTACCTTATGAGACGTTTCCACTGTGCTCTTCCTTCAGCTTTTCAAATATTAGATGCTATTGAGTATCAGAGTCTTTTCTAGCAAGTCTGCTAATAGTTTTGTAATTCTTTAAATTCATTGTTTCTCTCCACCATTGGAAATAACTTTCTCTCATTGTTTCCTACCCCCTCAGTTGGCTAGACTTCAAAGTTTTTCCTTTTGAAGGAAAATTCTCATGAAAAGATACGGTTTGCCTAGTGTAAATTTCTGAGTATGCCGTCCTGTTAAAAAATATGACTTGCTGCAACTGAATTAAGTATGTTAAATCAAGTTGAGTAGCATGCAGAGGGAGGAAGATAGGTAGATGCAAATCTTGGTTTAGTTATATGGAATAGCAGAATATGATGTGTTAGTTTTGGCTATGCTGACGGGGCATTGTCTGTTAGCTGCTTATAATTGGATATGTATCCAAGTGCTAGTGTCTAGGCATCTTTGTTAAAGCAATTTTAAATAGCAGTTCTTTTCCCTTAGCAAAGTTGTGCTATGTAGTGAGGAACAGGGGTAGTTATTAATGTGTGAAGCATAAAGTGTGCAGCTTATGGATACAGTTTTGCTTCAAATAAATGTAGGTGTTGGCAGGCATTAGAAGCAGGGAGACAGCTGATGTGTGATGTTCTAGGTTAGGATAAATTTACTATTTTCTGAACTTTTTTTCAATGAAAGAGCAGTTGCCAAATCAAGGTTACTTTTTGCCTGATGACACCATCGTTTGTCACACAAGAACTTGGTGCTGGTTTAGAGGTTTTTTTGGTGTTTGATTTTTTTTTTTTTGTTGTTGTTGTTTACATTTTGTTTTTAAATAAATGGCCTTACAAGTACTGCAATTTCACACTTTGAGTAAATGTCCTAAATTGTTATTTAAGCATCGACATTTTAATTCAGAATTTGTGCTTTGTTTGATCCTTGGCTTGCATTAGAGAAGTTTTTGATATGACAGTTATATTTCTAAAATTTCTGTATGTATTGACTGAAGGCCAGCTGTTCCTTACCCTGCCCTCTCTGACACCTCCTTCATTCTTCTCATTTTGGCTTTTTTTTTTTTTACTATATAGATGGCTCTTGTTGCTTTGATTGTAACACTGAAATTTATTAAGCCCTGAAGAGCTTAATGCCATCGATAGTGGTATACAGTGTCCTTAAAAGTTTTTGGATTTGTTTTCCTATTTTAATAAGAGAGAAAATTTAGTATTTTATGGTTCTTCATAGACTGTCTTGATTCGACTGACAAGACTCTTTTCCTCCCATGGTTCTCAAAGAGGTGTTTTAAATGCTGATTTAACTCATGATGTTTTAGAGTTACCCTGATAACGTGGGGAAAATGAGATTGTCTGGAGAGCTGTGAGTGAAGAGCAACAAACTAATTTTACCCACCAGTTAATGAAATGCAATTACCTTTGGCTAAAAACAGTTACATGCACCTTCAGCTTTTTGCCGCTCTCTAGATGAGATGATTTAAAAAAACCCGAAACGAAACAACTGGCTCTGAGTCACTGAAAATGGATGGTTTGGTATGCGAATAGCCTATCTACCTTAAGTGTGCAATTGCTGGTTGTATTCCTCTAATATGCACTACAGTTACAAAAGAAATAAGCTCTGAAAGTTAAACATGGGTTATGCTTTTGTTTAAAAAATCCCAATTACACTTAAATTCAGCACAAATGAGCTAACTGAATTAATTTCATGTTTTATTTTTAATTTATCACACACTTATAATTAAGACAGCCCAGTCTGCTTATCAGTGTAAAATAGCTTTTGTCATTTTTTCCTTAGGTTCTGTAACTTCATAAACTGTTTGGAAAGCTTTTTTTCCTGGATCTCTGCAATGCAAACAACCAGAATTGACACCACTCTCCCTATTAATGTTACAGTTCATTAACCTCATTGTCACATCTTTACAGTTCATTTACTTGAACAGAAGGATTTAAGTATGGCTCAGTGGTCCTGTTGTTTTCCCAGTGTTGCCTGGACTGTTAAGAGATTGTTCATTGTTTTTTCATATTTGTGTTCTGTTATTAATTATGGAAGGGACAGTAATGAGGAACATACACTTGTGACCCTATATGAGCCGGAAAGAGTGGGTGTGCATGGAGAGAAAGCGTGTTTTAATTTTAATGTGTTTTGTAAGAGTCTTCTAAGTACTATCACTACCCGAAAGGTGTGTGTAAGGTTGTAATATAGATACTAGTAGTTTCAGAACTGTCTTTTTATTTGTGTCTTGGGTAACTCTACCTTTTAAGGGAGGGGACTGTAATAGTTTTGCTTCATAGTGTTCTGTTCAGTAAACATACTGAATCAGTCTGGCTAGCTTTGCTAACGTGTAAGTGTTAAAGAAAAGTGGAGGCTGTTGAGGGGAGCTCTTACTTGATTTAAGAGCTGGATGCTAATTGTGGACAAATTTCAGTAGCAAGTGCATCAGTTGCCATTGATTTCCTGGCGTGTTTGAGCAGCTTTCAGTGTCATACTGAATAAACTGAATGTATTGAGTTAAAGACTAAATATAATAAGACAATTATATATTTGAATTGAAGGAAACTATGTTTTGTTAAACCTTGTGTTGAATACTCAGAATGTTTCTTCTTTAAAAAAAAAAAAAAAAGATTAACATTCTGTGGTTTGCTTCAGTGATCTCTTTTAGAGGTAGAAGCCACTGAATAGGGAGATTACTGATTTACTAAATTTCTCAAGACATTACTTTGACCTTTGATACCTTGTTTTGATCTTCTGCTTTGCAGCTCCTCATCAGCGTCTGGAGCCAGTGACTCTGCCAGGGATTGTCTCATTTGTGCTTAGCCTGTTATGTGGAGCTTTGAATTTAATTCGTGGCTTTCATGCCATAGAAAGTCTTCTCCAGGTATTGTATGTGTTTATGAGTTGAAGTGTTATGCATCATAGCAATCATAATATCACCTTAGAATATGCTTACTATATGAACTAAATCTTGCCAGTTTTGTCTTTAGAAATACTGCTTGTGAGGTTAGACCTCTGTTAATGAAACCTATGTTGATTGTGATCTGTGCATCCTTCTTGAGTGTGATGCATCATTCATTGAGGCTGTGAGTTTAAAAAGCAGTAGGAGGTGGGTGGCTGACCCTTTCCGTAGGAACCTCTGTAGCAGTATGAGAACATAATGTTCTGTTTTCTAAATCTGTGGTGGGATATGAGACATCTAATTTTCAGAGATGTTATTTAAAAACACCTGAGAGAAATGGTGAACAGCTTTGAAAATCTGATTATTTTTTTTTTTTTTTTTTTTTTTGGAAGGTCCCCAGAGCAGGGACCCTTAAACAGGTTTTGTAAAACTGTTTTTAGGAACCTTTTTTTTTGTTTTTCTTTGTTTTGAATAAACCTTTTTAGGTAGGATAGCATTTCTTTTTGTGTGCTGAAATGATCAACGTAAGGGAAAGTGTGAAGTGATTTCTTCTAACTCCTGTTCCCCCCAAACACCTACCCCCTCACCAGACAACCTTCTCCACAAACGTTTGTTCATGTGAGCACTCTGCTCTGTCCCTTGCTATAGACTTTCAGTTTCTTTCTGTTCAATTTTTTATCCAGTTTCTAGGGAATTGTATTCTTATTGCTACAAGGTCTCTAACAGTGGTTAATGATTTCAAGCAATTCAAGTGAATATGCTGGTAGTGCTGGCAAGCATGTGTGTTACCACAAAAAAAGACTGACTTAACATTAAGTGGTTCTGCTGTTGTGGTGATGGAAGTAGAAACTAAAATCCCTGTCAAACTTTTCTGAAAGAAAATGAGAATTCTTCTGAACGACTAATAGATAATATTTTTATTCAAACATTTATCTGGACTTTATAACTGCAGTGCTTTAGATACATAAAGGATTTTTTTTAGGGAAGTAAGGTAAAGAAGATGTATTCCAGTTATCCGATATAATTATTGATACATGTAAAGATTTAATAAAGTGGTAATATTTGAGGCCTTAGCATTTCCTGAAGGCTAATGAACAATGAACAGGATTAATGAAAGTGTTTCGTACTAGGTCCTAATTTGGAGTTGTTTCTTAAAGAAGAACCAAGAATGAATTAATGAACATACAGCTCTACTTTATCACTAATTAGATATTTCTGCTATGCACAATTCTCTCAGTTTATAAATAGAAATGAATTTAAAGTACACTGTAGTACAAATAGTACTGAACAGATTTCTACCACTTAGTTTAATATTTCTAGAACTTGTTTTATTACCTTTCTGAGCCTGATTTTTTGTAAAGGAATGCCAATGTTAGATAAAGCTATTTAAATGATACTAAGGCAGCTCATTAATGTTACTCTATATGTTATTGCATCTGGAGGTAAAAGAAGGCAGTACAGATGAAAGATGGTTTTTCAGTTTCTGAAAAACAAGGGCACTAAAAATCCATTAAAATTTCTCTTAATTTATTTTATTATGGAAAAATCCACAAGGTTGAGTGAGAAATAATCCAAAATATGATTAATGGAAATTCTGAGATGTCATTCAAAAGCTTGTCTCTGCATTAGTGGTTCCTTTGTAATCAGTGTTTTTATTTGGGTGTTAGCAAAACTGTTAAAATCTCTAGCTATACTCCAGCAAATATGTGGTGTCATCAAGGTAGACTTGCGTACAGTTTAGGAGTGTACTGCATTGTGTAGGTAAGTTTTATGTGCAGAAATGCAAACTTTTTCCTAGTCAACAATGGAGATGGAAATGCTTCACAATGAACATACTCTGAGCAGAAACATGTAGTTCTGAATGGACCATCATCTTATCAAAATGATACTCGCCTTTCAAGGAAGAACATTTGCATGAGTACCCATTGTTTTCCTGGGAAAATTTCCGATTGTTGCAGATGTTTGTTTGAATTGTGGTTAGAATAATCACTGAGCATGCAAATTTATTCTGCTCAGCTCTATAGAAACTATAACAACCCCTTTGAATAAATTAGAAGGAATTCTTTTTTGGTTTCTAAACACAGAATAGAAAGCTCTTAAAGTAAATTTTTCCATCTTTTCCTTCAAGAAAACGTAATTTTCCAATAATCTTTCTGATAAATTCGTGTGCTTTTGTTAGCTCTCACTGCCATGAACACAAAGCTGCCTGCTCTACTTTCTGTGTAGAATTTTACCACACCCTAGTGGCCAGTTTGTTTTCTCCTTTTATCTCTTTTCCATCTTGTGAAGCTGGAGGAAGGCATAATTCTACAAAGTTTTAAGGTAGGTACAGTGTTCAGACTTGAATTTTCAAAGGCATCTATAGAAGGTAAGTATCCGGTGCTAGATCTGGACTTCCCTTAAGGCTTTTGAAAATCTTAGCCTAAGTTGTTTGTTGTGAATAAGCATTCTGGTCAGATTGCAGATCACTGTCTTGTTTTTTTTTCCAGACATAAATGTAAACAGCAATTAGCGCTAAGTCTTTTGGTTTAGTATAATACAGAAATTATTATAAATCTTTATGTGAGACTATTTTAAAGGCAATAATTAATAACTTTCATACTGTAAATATCTGGTATTTCACTGAAACATCTATTTTATTTTATTTTCACAGAATGAAGGTGAAGATTTCAGCTATGTTATTGCATTTTTTCTTGGAACAGCAGCCTGTTTGTACCAGGTGTGTTCTTCTACTTGCATAATTCACTGTAGAGTTTAGAAACTTTACCCAGTCATGCATAAATGTCATCATGTTTTCTTAAATGTCACAGATACTTGGAAAGGGTGATTATAAAAATAATTTCTGCTCTGTTTTTTTTTTTTTTTTTCCATTAGTTTGATACAAAGAGCTTCTGTTTGCTGGAATTTTTCTCCAGTTAGTTGATTAAGAGATTTGGTGTACTTTTCTGTCTGGAGCTTACAGTTTATCTCTAAAGTTGCAAACAGTGGAGGTTATATCATTTCCTTAGAGCAGTAGTTTCATAGTTCGAGTAAGCTTAACCATCTGAACAAATAGTGTGCTACTTCTTTCCTTTGGGAAAATTTGAAATAAATACAGTAACACCTAGATGCTACACTCCAGAATTTTCATCTCTTTGTACACTATAGTGCATCTCCTCCCTTTTCAAAGCTTTCAGTCTCTTTCCACTATGTTTTCTTTCTCCTATCCGATATTTTGTATCAGTAGGTTTTCCATTTCTGCATTTGAATTTGACCTTCCTATCTAATTTGTAGCATGGTATTCTGGTACCCATTGGCATTTGTCATTCAGTAACACTGCTGTTACATTTAGCTATGACTATAATGTCTGTCATGTTCAATTGCTGTTACTATAACTCTTCTGACTTTTAATCTCTTGCATTTGTGGAGTATGTGGTTTCTACTTATTTCTTTATGCCAATGTTTAATACAGTGTCAGATCATAGAATCATAGAATAATTATGGAAAGGACCTTAAGATCATCTAATTCCAACCCCCCTGCCACGGGCAGGGACACCTCACACTAAACCATGTCACCCAAGGCTCTGTCCAACCTGGCCTTGAACACTGCCAGGAATGGAGCATTCACAACTTCCCTGGGCAACCCATTCCAGTGCCTCACCACCCTTACAGTAAAGAACTTCCTCCTTATATCCAATCTAAACTTCCCCTGTTTAAGTTTTAACCTGTTACCCCTTGTCCTAAAATAAAATGCCTCAGGATTTTCCTTTCACATCAGCCTTTCTATCAGTCAGCCTTTTGTCCAGGTTACCTGTAATCTCCATTCTCTATTAGCAAAATGTACTCATAGAATCATAGAATCACAGAATGGTTTGGGTTGGAAAGGACCTTTGAAGATCATCTAGTTCCAACCCCCCCTGCCATGGGCATAGACACTCTTCACTAGACCAGGTTGGTCAAAGCCCCATCCAACCTGGCCTTGAACACTTCCAGGGATGGGGCAGCCACAACTCTGGGCAGCCTGTTCCAGTGTCTCACTACCCTCACAGTGAAGACGTTCTTCCTAATATCTAGTCTCAGTCTGCCTTCTGTCAGTTTAAAGCCATCCCCCCTTGTTCTGTCACTATATGCCCTTGCAAAAAGTCCCTTTCCAGCTATTGGAAGGCTGCTCTTAGGTCTTCCTAGAGCTTTTTCTTTTCCAGGCTGAACAACCTCAATTCTCTCAGCCTGTCTTCATAGGAGAAGTGCGCTAGGCCTCTGATAAAATCTTCATGGTCCTCCTCTGGGCTTGCTCCAACAGGTCTATCTCCTTCTGTTGGTGTAGGTCTTGAGCTGGATGTAGTACTACAGGTGGGGTGTCTCATGAGAGCAGAGTAGAGAGGGAGAATTGCCTCCCTTGACCTGCTGGTCACACTCCTTTTGATGCAGCCCAGGATGCAGTTGGCTTTCTGGGCTGCAGGTGAACAGTGCCAGGTCGTGTTTAGCTTCTGATCAACTAACACTCAGAGTTCTTCTTCTCAGTGCTGCTCTTAATCCATTCTCTGCTCACCCTGTAGTTGTGCTTGGGATTGCCCCAACCCAGGTGCAGGACACAAGTACAACTTGTGTTCTTCACCACTTGTTGACTTTTGTCAGCTGCTGCCTTAAATAATTCTTCAAATTGGTGTTAATTTTCCATGCCAACAATCTGCTCCATGTCACATGGAGGAGTTCCACCATATTCTTTTTTTTGTGGGGAAAAATACATATTCTTCCTTCCCCTCCCAAAATAGAAAACTTATTCTTAATATAAGAAAGGACTTTTCTCCACTGACTTGAATAGAGATGTTTTTAAGAAACAATTCATGCAGCTTGCAATATAGGCTTTTTCTTTAATACTCAGAATATATCTGTTGATACTCCTGTTCTGCACCCTCTGGTGTCATTCCTACCATATGTAATTGGTCAGTTTTCAGAACTAAGAGGGCTCTTAGTTCTCTGGCATATTCTGATGTTGTTTTGCCACGTTAAGAGTTTGGGAGATTAATTTCATGTGTTGTGTGACAGCACATTTTATTGTCATTCCCCCATATGTCCATAATGCTGTATTGTCTTGTTGAGTCAGTAACAACATATCAGTGTGTTACCCTTTATGGTTTCTGAGAAAATGTTTGCATCCTGGGTGTTCAGGCAAAAAATGGGACTGAAGGGAGTGTGATGTTTTAGGCTTCCTGTCATGTCTGGTGTTCCGCAATGGTTTCTGGTCTCCTCTGAAGAAGAAAATGTACAAAAATAACTATCTCAGTTGTACCTGAAGTGTGAAGTATCAGGAGCTGAGCCTTCAGTCACTTCTTAACATTTATTAAGAAAACCTCACACCAAATAACTTCCCCCTCCCCCAAATTAAGTTCTTCTCTGAAGTAGCACAGAGGAGTCTTCTACGTAAAAACGTGCTCAGTAACTGCCATACTAACACTTCCCTTTAATAGAAATAAAAAAACCAACCTCAGGAATTTCATAATAGCACTTGTTACAGTGAGATGTTTTGGCCTTTTGAGTGGTGCTCTGTTCTGTAACTGGCAAATCTAGCATTTCAAACCTAGACTAACGAAAAGCCACTGAATTAATTTAAAACAGATCTTCAGTAAAATTTGGAGTCATTCAACATCATGTTCCAGTAACATTTTTAAACTTCTGTAATATTTTTACCATTTTAAACTCTTCATATTTATTAATGATTTTGATGAAGCATATCCTGACTCTTATTTTAATCTTGGTATTAGCTACACTTTTTCATATGTTGTCAGTGGAGGTGACACTGCTAGAAGATTATCTGAACTCTTACTGCTGAGATACTATGCCAGCTAATTGCTCTTTCATATATGATTTATAAAACTGTCGGCACAAGTAGGTTGCATTTGCTCTGCTTGAAGTGGCCAGGCAAGTTCAGAAAAATTCCATATAGATTCTGAAGCACGTGGATTACTTTTCTCTAGTTTTACTTTGCTTTGGAGGAAGGATGTGCAAATCTTGCTGATACTGGCAGTATTCATATGTCTGAAGATACTTAGGTATCCCAAAATTACAGGTAGTTTTGTTAACCTCAGTCACACTTACAGTGGAAGTACATGCTTTGTAAGAAAGTGGTCGAGTTTTGGATAGAATATAAAGTAATCTCAATAAATTGCATTGTTCAGTTGGAAATGTACAATGCTTTGGCTCTTTTTGAGGAACATGAAAATTGAAAAAAAAAATAAATTAGCTTCTCTGACTGATAAAACATGGCAAATACCCAAGAAGAACAGAAAATGATACTTAGATAGTCCAGTGATGGTGCTCTTACACAATTTGTGTGAGCATGGTTATATATCCACTGCGAACAGATTTGGAATACAAAGTAAGCTCAAGTGATGCTGTTGCCTGCCTTGAAGCACAGTAAAAGCTTTCTTCAGTTGACAGAAGTGGCTAGAATCCAGAGTGGGAGGCAAACAGGTTTTTTGCAGAAGTCAAGGAAGAAGTTTGAACAACAGCAGAAGTAAAAATAATGTTTATGTAAAAGCCACGTCCCTTTAGAGATGAAAACTCTAAAGGCAAGAGACTTGAACAGATTTCTAGTTGCAGTAGGAAGAAGGTAAAGTAGGGAACTGCAGGCAGTCCTGACATTCTGTGTTACACCATGAGGTACAGGAACTGACCCTTAAAATGTAGGGGAATTATAGTAGAGTTGTTGCATATTTCTCTCCACACGTGATCCATCTTGTACCAGCCGAAGAAGGACAGTGGGTATTTGTAGACTCTGGACATCTATCAGTTAATTCTCTGCATTAACCCTGGCAGGACACTGTGTTGGTATCTGGGGCCTTGCCTCTTGCTGAGTGTTCCCAGCTGCAGGGCCCTGGTATTTTCCTTGTCCTTCCCACTGTTTTGTCTGAAGAAGACTGAACCCTGGCTCCTTGTTCTTCTCCATTCCTTGAATGGAACAGAGTGTATTTTGACCAGACATTGCCAGGAACACCCACTTTCATTTGTCACGGGCCACTCATTATTGCAGGTTGTAATAAATTGTTATGTTCTTAAAGAGTTTTTAATGGAAGTAAAATGTAACCTTGTATTGATGTCAGGTACTTTTCACCCTTCCATGACTGCTACATTAATACTGTTCTTACATGTTTGATTTATACTTTTACTTGGTTTGGGTTTGTAATTTCTCAGTGACAAGATAGTGTTTCTCAGTGGAAGTTACCTTACATGTGGTAATCAGATTTCTTTTTTATTTCCCGACAGTGTTACCTGTTTGTATACTACACAGGCTGGAGGAATGCCAAATCCTTCCTGACTTTTGGGTTAATTTGCCTGTGTAACATGTATCTGTACGAACTGCGCAACCTGTGGCAGCTGTTCTTTCATGTGACTGTGGGAGCGTTTTCTACCTTACAAATTCGACTGCGACAGCCACAGGGAAAGTCCCCCGATTACAATGTCTGACAAGTCCTGGAACATTTAGAGGCAGTCTTGTTCCAACAGTTACTCACTCTCAGGAATGTAAAGCTGTTCTCCAAAAGAAGCTGTCTGGATGGGTTTTTCTTTATTATTATCATTTTTTTAAATAAAGCAATGGAAGATGCCTGTGGACATTTTTCACTTGATGGTTAAACTTTTTCTTTTATGAAGGACACAAAATAATATGGGACTAGAGGAGGAAAATAGGTTATATCCATACACTGAAATGTATGTAGGGATGCTAAGTTTGGTGAATTTGATTGGTGGCATAAAAAAAGCTTAATTCACAAGTACATTAATGGAAGGAATGTAGAGAGTATATGTTCAGCATATCATGCAAGCTCTTTGCTTCCAAAATCAATTTTGCCTTTGTGAGGCAGTAGGGGGTAGGCTAACTAAATAATAATAATAATAATGCTATAGCGTATTGGCAAACTAGATTTGGAATATGTCAGATACTAAATTTCAGAATGTTTTGTTTCACATTGACATATATGTGAATGTTTTCTTAATTAAAATGTAACCTGGAAACTGGTTCTGGGGTTCACCTTTATGGCACCTGTGGACCTCTGTTTACTGTTACAAATACTTTAATGTTTTTCCATTTATGATGTCCTTTTAATTATCTTTGAAAGTGGTCTGTGTGGACGCAGTTTCTTTTTAGCAATTATTCAGAAAGTTCTGCCACTTAACCGAAGATTTTTGCACGCTTCCTGTGTTTGAACTCTGAGAAGGTTAAAAGGAAATGGATTGGTGAGTAAATGGAGTGACTGGTACTTGTTTGGACTGTTGTTCTTCTTTTTATATATTTTTAGAACTGGATGAATAATTTGCTCAAAGGTGAGATAAATAACTGCTGACAGGAACATAATAAATCAGTCTGATTAGTTAAACAAGAAAAGACCAGGGATTTTAATTGTTTTTATGGGTCGGAGGATTTGTGCTGGGATAGAACCTCCTTGATCTAGAGTTCTGTTTGAGAGACCATTGTGTGCTTCTGAAGTTGGTGAATCAATCAGCAAACCCCAAATGCTTAGAAAATAGAATAGCAACCATATAGTACCACCATCAGTTAAATGTGGTTTTTGTTGTTGTTGCTGTTTTGCAATTATATGGAAGTTATTTATGATGTTTCATAATATGCAAATATATATAAGTAGGTTTTTATATGTGGCCTGGAATAATAAAAGGGTGTGCTGAAACATTGGAGAAAAAAAAGCAAGCTTTGATATGCTGTTTGTGGTGTTTGATTTGGGGATTGACCTAGAAGAAAGGGGCTAGATCTTTTATTCTGTTTTAAAGTAAGTGGTATTAGTCAAGAAAATGATGCAGAATACAACCAATAAGAATTAGAGAATGAAATTGTAATTCAAAGTGAAGAGGAGCAATATGTAATATATTTTTCATAATGCGTGTCTCTGATATCTGAGATCAAGACCTTGAAGATAACCTTGGTGTGCTGCCTCAAAGGTTGGTGTTGGAGGTGATGTGCTTTGCAGAGCTAATTCTCTCCCCCCCTTTGAGACAGAAGAGAAGAAGAATATGTTCATGAGCATGGTCTGCTTTTGTTTTGGGAATCCAGAAGATGAGGAAAAGATAAAAAGGAGGACAAGAATTTTAGGAAACGTTTACACCATAAATGTTTCAAAAATCCAGAACAGCAGGCTGTGTTTTTAGCACACAGAGGTTTGCTTGTGTTGGCATTCAGTGCTTCCTTCTGAACTCTGGACATCAGAAATGCTGAAAATCAGTCCTTTACCATTTTAAATCAATGATTGAATGTTTTAGGTATAAAACCAGATTTTATCTTGCTCATGAAGTCTGGAAGAGTCCTTATACCTATCTTTTCACTTCACCATTGCTGATAGGCAAGGAAGCTGTTATGAATGCCTGAAGTCCTGCTTAGTTTTTAATTCAGGTTGTTGTGCACAAGAATCTTCTGTTGCATCATTTGTTCAGTTTATATGTTGGCAGAGAATCTTGTTTTCTCTGAGATACCTTCCCTTCCTGCTGTTCCTAAAGATACATTTTTAAGGAATGAAAACTTTCTTTGTCGTAGCATCTGGAGCCATTATTCCATTCCAGTTATGCTGGTGTTAAACTAATTGCTGATTAGCACATATAATGAACAAATGCAACTGCCAGAGGAATGGAAGACAGTTGAAGTTTTGTCTGCTTGTTTTTACAGCACTGATAAAAATCCCATGTCAGGATGAAAAGTTAATGAGCATGACTGTTCTTCATTACCTGATATTACTAGGTGCTAAAAGCGTGGCTGTTGAACATGGTAGTTTGACTATAGTATCAAACTTGCTGAAATTTTGTGTGAGATGGGAAACAAGGTACACCAGGCCATTTTAGAGGTGAAAATTTCCTGAAAATTCGCAATATTTCCCATTTGCTTATACAGACTCAGCATTTGGAGAAATTGAGGTGCTTCCCTACTGATTTTACCAGAATCTTGAGTTAGTAGACTTAGGAAGATGAACTTGCACAAAATGACTGCTCTCTTGAGCAACATGCTTTATTTTCATTATTTTCATTTGAATTTCACAAGGCCATTCATAGTTGCTCGATTTCTTTTCTGTGGGACTTTGTAGAAGCAGAGCTCACTTCCTGCTATATTTATAAAGTAAGCTCTCTTTGAAGTTGGAATGAGTCCACCCAACACCCACAATACCATATTTTTCTTTGAATGGTGTCACTATTTACAGTCACTGTCAGGAAGAGATAGCCAAAAGTTTGACTGACTTCCACAAGATATATGTAGTGCTGTCTGAGGTTTGATTACTTCACAGTCCCCTATTTGAGGTCCTAGAGACTTCATCACGTTCTTCTTGGTGTGTTTTTGTTTAATATCTGAGATTTTTCTTAGTGGCCTGCTCTTTCGTATTCAGTGTCTGGGGTAATAGCTAGGGAAAAGAACTAGTCTTGTTCGTGAATTGTCAGGTTTTGCTAGGAAGTAACTTTTCAGCCCCTGGAAAACGTATAGACCCCTTTCACACTGCTTCATGGAATACTGACACGTATATGAGATATATAAGAACAGAGAAAGAAAGGTGAGGAGTGAGGTGTAGAAAAAAATGCAGCCTTCTCCAAGGGAATGTATGTGTGTGTTACTTGGATTGATTTTTAGCTATATTAAAGCTGGCAGAGAACTAGGTAATGATGGTTTCCTTTACAGGCATTGTGATTGCTTAACATTCACTGTGGATTCGTCAATATACTGGTAGTCTCTTTATCAAAGGATTGAGGAACATCTGTTTAGGGAGATTACCTTTCAGCCTCCTCCTTTCATTCCTCATTTCCACTGCAGCTGCTATGGTATGACTGGTTTTTGCCTTCATGGTTTGTATTGAAAAAAAGCAACCCATCAACATTTGCAAAGACTAAACACATGCTATTTTGAATCAGCTTCTTGTCAGAATAAGTAGCATTCTAGAGAAGTGTTACGGCTTCCAGAAATCCACACATTCTGCATGTTGTTAGTATAAAGGGATGTCTTACAGGAGGGGTTTTCCCAGGTGGGTAAGTGATGAGAAGGGTAGCAGCAAGGGGACTGCTTCAATGGCAGTTGCAGCCCTGTGTTGAGAGTCCAGCTGATGTCTTAATGGGGGTCAGAGGAACCCTGGAGAATCTGGCTATGTGTGCAGTTCTCGTCAAAGCTGGTCTGATATTCCAGGTACTGTTTATTTTAGTAAGGTCAAATTGTCTCTCAGTGTCTATACCAGCTTCTTTCACTTAACAAAATTGTGGTTCATCAGTTGTATTGATCAGATTGGTTGCTAATAAATTTGATGGAGCACTTTTGGCAGTTGCTTCACCCACATTTGCTATTTTGACTTCACAGAGCTATCAAAAAGTTATTCTGACTTTTTAGAGCATTTACAGAGTCTTTGTTTTCCCAGATAACCTTTCTTCCTCAGAGGCAAAGCCTCCTGAGACAGGTAGATGACAAGTTCAGAAGGTTTTAAGGTACACTTAGCAGGGGCTGCATAGGTGCTGTGCAGCTACCTGCCTCTGATACGGCATGCAGAGCTCCAACCTGGGTGTCCTGCTCAGCTTGCATCAGGGACATGTGAGAGATGCTGTGGGATTATCCTGCTAACCTGTACACTGAGCAGAGTTTGAGAACATGCCCTAGGTACCAAGCACCACACAAAGCTTGAGAGCAAATGAGCATGTGCTCCATCTCTTGTACTGAAGCTGCTCTGGAAATACCGTGAGAAGAAAGAGCAAGGGAGAAGGACATTATCAGCTGGGTGTTTCTGTGCTCACCTAGTTGGGGGTGGTGGTGTGCCTGCTTCCCACATCAAACATGACATTAAATAATTCCAGACCCAGCTCTAATCTGTCTTCCTCTTGCCCTTTTCAGGACACAAACTGTATAGTTCTACAGGCAACCTGAGGTGAGTGAGCCCTGTTTCCTAGCAAGAAAGAGGTGTGTAGCAACAAGATGACACTCCATAGCTCTCCTGGTGTTCTCTCCCTGTGCCCTTAGCCAGGCACAGCTAAGCTGGGATGCTGTGCTGTGCCTCTTACTGAGCAGCTGAAAAGGAAAGTAGGATGTCCATTAGCCTGTATTTCATTTCAGACTGAATTGCAACAGTTACTTGAAGGACAGGAGAGGTCCAAGCATACCTGAGTGGTGAGAGGAGGAGACTCCTGTTCTTAGCCCCTCAGTGAAGGCTGGAGTGGGAACTATAGCTCTTGGTGGCACAGCAGGGTTGCTGGTAATGGTTTTGTCTGGGCTTTGGCTGTTGTGAACTCAGGGTTGTGTGACCAGCACAAGGTTGTTTTGAACTCAAGGTTCACAACGCCAGCTTTGGCCTTTATGGCTCCTGTTGGAACTTGGGCTGCAGCATGCAAGAAGGGATTTGCCATTAGGTGGGGAGGCCTTGTCTGGAGCCTTTTGAGGGCACCCTTGTAGCTAGGAGGAGCAGCAGCATGTAGGGTAGGGTCCTGTGTTGTTGGTGCTGTTAACTGCTGTGCTGCTGGGGAGGGTGGTGGCCATTAGATGGTGGCACACACAGCCTGGGGTGATTATTTTTTGCTTATCTATAGTTGGGTTTGATGGTTTGTGTATCATCAATTACTTTGGAAAGAGTGGCTGCCCTTAAGTGGAGATATGCTCTCCCTTTCCCCTGTAATGGAAGGGGTTTTGTTGTCTCAGCCTGAGCTTGTGGCACTGCTCAGCAATCATGGTAGCTCTGCTAAAACCGCACAAGTCTGTTCCAGTAGATGGCAATAGTTATTTGCAGGTGAAATTCTGTGTTTAAAGAAAAGATCTCTGAGCCCAGCTGCTTACAGGGGAAGTTCACTTGCTCTGACTGTTCTCCTGTGGAGCTTTTTATTCAGATGGCACCTGTGCTGTGCCAGCATTGCCTCTGAGCTTGTCAGCACTGGGTTCTCACCATGCTGTAATTCTCACCTAGCACCCACCGCTTCCTTATCTGCTCTTCTTGGCGCTGGCTTTCAGTGGGAGCTGTGGAGAATGGGGTTGGTACCAGCAGTGCAACCTTGTTGTCACCAC